AAAAGGGCCCAACTCAGCAAATACTGCGGCGGAGCCACAGCGCTGGTTTTTAATGGACCCTTTTTTGAAATTGGCCGATTTAAAAATAAAAATTGCAAATAAAATGAAAAGAAAATAAAAAATTGTGGACGCGCATATAAATAGGTATAACATATAAATAACTCAATTTGATTTGAAAAATAAAATTGTCACTATATCTTTATGTATTTTGCGTTATACTACTAATAAACTTTCTCCAGGCGTATTTTGCAATATTAAAATGTGCTCTCTGAGTTTAATTTGAAAGTACAAACGGATTGTTGTTCTAGATCGAGTTACAAGAATTGGAGAGGATGTGGGTTATATTTTTCTGTATCTAATGGAGCAATAACCATGTTTGACGTAACTCCACTTATGCCATTGTTTCTTAAGGGGTGCGATTTGTTTAGCACTTAGTACAAATAGTGGATACCTAAGTGAGGTTACCGACCTTACGACGCGGCAGCCTTCAGCATGCCATAAGCGTCCTTAGACATGCTGAAGCAGTTGCGACATCATGCACGCGTCTGGTCTTTCTTCAGATCAGTCTTGCCGTGCGTCTTCCCTCGCCCCGCATGTTCGCACTCGGCCTTCCGAAGCATCCCCAAGGCTGCCGGCTCGGCATCCCTCCCTAAGCATACCGCAGCTTTATTTTGCAGCTACGATCATTACCATTGAAATTGCAACTATAATGTCATAACCTTAAGGTATATTACTATTAGTCACTTAAAAATCCCTTGCCGGCCCGTCCCGTACACCATATAATGATTAGAGATGGGAAAAACTGCTTATTTTTTCAAACGTTTAAACGGTATGCTTTTATAAAAAAAGCTTGCTTTTTTAAACGCCTTTTTACTTAAATGCTTTTTAGTTTGAAGCTAACAAAATCTTTATATGTTTATAAAACGTTTAAGCGCATAGACTTTTATGTTAAAAAAAGCTTGCAACGTTGTGTGGATAGCGAAACGCAAGAGTAAACCACTAAAGGTTATAAGTAAGGTTTTTTTTGTAAAATACGAGTTATATTTTTATTTATGACATGACATTGTTATATTAACATTTTGTTCATTGGCGTTTAAAAGCGTTCAAAAACGTAAGTTGTTTAACTGTTGTAGATGTTAACCGTTGAAATGGAAAAAATGCTTATTTTTCTAGCGTTAAAACGTACATTTAAGAAGCGTGCTTGTAAAAGTGCTTTTCACTTACGCTTTTTAGTTTGACGACTTTTTCGTTTAGAAAAACGTTTAAGCGCATAGACTTTATGTTTAAAAAAGCTTGCAACGTTATGTTGAATTATTTGTTTAGGAAACATAAATAGCGCTACTTGAAACTTAGGCACGTTGTAAAAAATGAAATTGTTATGGTCAGTTGACCAGTGACCAACGCTTACGCTTAAAATGAAAAATGTGCTTATTCGCTTATTTTAAAAAGCAGACTTTTTTAAGTGCTTTTCGTTTAAACGCCCACCTCTAATAATAATAATAACGCACACACCCAACATAGTCCCGCAGTAGGCAAACCCTATGTCGCGGGTGCCATGGACACATACATAGACAACCACAAATTACAGTTACACCCAAACTCACGAGAGAAATAAATGTCGGTCATACAAATATTTCTCCCAGCTCGGGAATCGAACCTAGGAGCTCTGCGCGGCAGTCATGGCATGGCAGTTAAATAGTGGTTCACGGTGTATGTGTTCACGTTCAAACGGTTAGCTTAACTACTTATATGGTGCTGAAGGAAAATGTTAACATCGCGTTTTACAAAAATAGCTTCGGACTGGTCAATGCCATCTAGTGGCATCGTGACGAACTAAAGCTTTAATATCATTACAAATGCACACTAACCGAGCGTGATGGGAACTTCATCGTCGTCAGAAAAACGGATCTCGAACTTAGCTGTTGTAAAAACGTTGGCAGAAATTATTATATGCGTTAGCAAAGCAACGTAAAGAATTTCGTGCATTTTTAGTTAACAGTGTAGCGCTCTTTAAATTGTTTGTTGCATTGACATTAAGTCATGGCTTTATAGAATTACGTTGTACTTTTTTTAAATTTGGGCCAACCACGCCCATAGTACGTGTATGTATACAAAACAATGTATTTTCAATGTGCCAGACAACTACACCAATTGCCTGGTCTCAAACTAGGGAATTCCATATAGGTACCGGAGAAACGAAATTCACTCTGTGGCCTTACCCATAACACCCAAACCAAAACCGGTATAGAAAATTTAGTAACACTGGAGCCCCTTGTGAAAGTGTGCGTCCAGGGAAGTACTGCCACCTTACCTAATGTAATGTAATAAATATTTAAATGTAAGAGTAAGGGTGCTAATGTAATTACAGGCTCATGGGTCATGTCATGGGTCATATCTCAACGTGACGGGTGCAGTGGCAGTGCCCATAAGATCTTTGCGATTTAAAGATCTTAATTCAATTCAATTCAATTCAAAAAGTTTATTTCAGACATAGTCTGTCATCATAGTCAATATTAGTGTTAGTTACAAAAAAAAATTCTTACAACCTATTTTAGTACTAAATTTGCGAAATATTACAGTAACTTATAAATTAAACCCCTGGAACCCATGTGGACTGAGTTCCAGTGCTTCCACAATTCACTGACAGGGTTCTCCCAGATCAAACGAACTAGGCTATTGGAACTGCCACGCACGCGACGCATCAGGGAGGCAGTTCTCTTCCGAATAATCGCGCTGAAGCTTTCGATACGCGCGTCCGCGAACATACCTGATGCGCTGCAAAATCGTGGCAGCCCCAATAGCATCCTAAGACCATTATTGTATTTGACACGCAGGGCATTGACCGTCGCTTTAGTGTAATTAAGTGTTAATGATACTGCAACTGTTATGGATAGGCGTGCCGCTTACCACCAGGCGCACGTCTTGTTCGTTCCGTCACTTAGTATTATTAAAAAAAAACATTCCTCAATTTAGTCCCACCGGGACCTCCTCATACAGCGCCCACAGTATAAACCGTTGGGCCTCTGAGGTTGTCATTTTAAATAATAGGTCCACAAACATACACAGGAATTAAACAAGTGCTCAAATTCAAATATCTTCAATTTCCATTGACTAAAATCTACTAAATTATACAGATTCCCCTGAGAAGGATGTAAGCAAGGAACTCTAGGGATTGCTTTTTGTAAATAAATATTTGCATATATTTATCATTTACTAATTTGCTTATATTTATAATTATTATTTGTTTATTTATACATTTTAGGAAAATTCACGGATAAATAATACAATTATGGTATACTTAAATATGAGTAATTCAATGCCATTCACAAATTTCCACCAACATGAAACAATATAAAATTATAATAAATGTTTGCATATATTTGTCATTTCAAATATAGCTAGAAACAACCTGAATGAGCTAAATGGGTTACCACCATGGATTTGTGTCATCGAAGTACACAGAAGCGGTCTATTAACTTGTTTTTTATAATTATTAATAATGAATGAATGAAATGTTCTTTATTGCTCATTAGATTACTGTTAAAATACAATAGTTTAAGACTCATAGTAGTAGTGTTACTGTGCAACAGGTGGCCTTATTGCTATGTAGCAACTTCTTCCAGGTAACCTTAGGATAGACATTTGGGATAAGGGGTGCAACCAAAGAATATCATCATACTCACTCACTACATAATAAGTAATTATTAAAATAGAAGTAGATAGATATACATGAACATACAAATAATTTTAACACACACATAACAATAATGAAATGAAATGAAATATTTATTCGCAAGCAAACACGGTAAGAAAAGATATTATTATACAAGGTGTCAAGAACACGTGTTGCACCAGATACTGGCACGCAAATATTAAAATAAATTGAGGTTAAATAATGTCATAAATTAAAATTATACAATTTGTCAAATAAGCAATGTCATATAAAATTAAGTAAAAATGCCAATAAATAGCAACAGCAACAACATCATAAATTAAACAATATCATAGAAGTAATAACAGCACAAATATAAACAAAATGCCAAATACAAACAAAATGTCAATATCTTTTTATTATAAAAAAATCTTTGATATCGTATAAACACAGATCACATAGCAAATCAAATAACTTTTTGTTAAATATTTTTATAGGTAAATCTGCGATAGCTGCAGGCAAAGCATTTATATACATATTTGTATGGACATGTTATAGCAATTCCTATAAAAGCAAGTAGTCTTATGGGAGGGGCCAGCTATGCGGTTTGGATATCTAGCTAAAAAATTACATACTTCACGTTTCCTAGTAAATAAGACCAAGTTTTTTTTAACAAACATGCATACCTGATATACGTACATGGCGGGAAGCGTTAGAAGATTTAGCTTTCTAAAAAACGGTCTACACGATTCGAGCGGACCTACTGTACACTCTAGCTCTGACACACTTTTTCTGGATAGCAAATACACAGCTTATCCCTACGCTGTTCCCCCAGATAATGAGGCCATACCGCAAGCTTGAGCAGACAAATGCATGGTAGGCCATCAAGGCAGTCGTCTGATCACATATGTGCGTTAGACGCTGTAAACCAAATACAAATCCACTCAGCTTTGCACATATTGAATCAACCTGTGGTTTCCATGTTAGTTGAAAGAGTTAGAGAGAGAGTAAATAAATAATAATATCAAATACTTATACACTTTTAAAGGAAAAAGAAAAATAAAGTATGAATATAGGAAATAAATTAAAAGATAGTAGAGGAAAGACGAAACTTAGGACAACAAGTACATAATAAACTTTGTGAAGTCCGCCTGCTCGTTCCGTGGCTTAGTTGGCATAGTGTCTGACACGGTTTGCTAGAAGACGACGGTTCGAATCCGGCCGGATCGAAGGAATTTTTTCTAAGTGTTCCATCTTTGTGTTAATAATTATAGCAAACTAGTCGAGTAGTTTCACAAAAAATAACTGAATATCAATTCAATAAAAAAAATTATGTTGTTGTTTACAGGTGTATCCGGCATACCGCAGCAGTCAGGTTTTTACTGGAAAGGCGTGTGGTTACCTCTGTGTGTCACGTTCGATCCTGGAACGGCAAAATCTGTTTAGTGAGTGTTTTTTCTCTAGTAACTTTTTTAAATATTTTTTCTTGTGCCAAGCAGTAATGTGAGCTTTACTGCGTTCCGGTTTTGAAGGGCAAGGATGTTTGTGAAACTACAGACTCACTTGGGACTTGTCATCTTTATGTCTCTGGGTGATGGGTGCAGTGGCAATGACCTTCAGAGCCCCAAATCTGCTTATTTTAATTATTATTATATAATTTAGCTCCTTGTGAAAGAGTTCGTCCAGGGTAGTACTGCCACCTTACCTATTTCTGCCGCCAAGCAGTAATGTGAGCATTGCTGCGTTCCGGTTTTGAAGGGTAGAGGTGCTGGTGAAATTACAGGCACATGTGACTTGTCAACTTATGTCTCAGGGTGACGGGCGCAGTGGCTGTGCCTATAAGATCTTTATAATTTAAAGCTCTGAGTGGCACTGCAACTGTTATGGATAGGTGTGTCGTTTACCACCAGGCGCACGACTTGTTCGTCCCGTCACTTGGTATTGTAAAAAAAAGAGATAAAAACTAAGATATGCGTGGTAATCTTCATTGTAGTTTTGGTATAGCCACATCCATCGTTATGCCGGGCTCACGAGCGTTTTTCGCTTGCTTGCGTTGACTGGGTACACGGCATCTACTTTCCGCGCAAAGGCGTTTACGAATCTTCCGCTTTGCGTTGCGGAGAAACTTGCGCGCAAGCGCGGCGCCTGGCCTTTGTTTGGTTGTCGACACTCTCGAACCGGCTGCTGCTCTGTCATTGGCCAGTGGAGCTGTCCACCGCAAACGTTCATTGTTGCTTGCGTAGATATATCAAACTGACATAAAGCAAGCGGCCGGCGCAAGCGAGCGACTCGTGAACAGTCCTACCGGCGCGTACGCGACAGATCCTTGCGTATGTGCGAAGCGAGTCAAGCAACCAAGTAAAAACGCAAGTCAAAGACTCGTGAACCCGGCATTAGTGATTGAGTGAATTAATACCATCACTGCCCTTCCACTGGCACTATTGAGACTCAACTGCCATTGCAACTAAATTTTAGAAGAATAACAAATATTGTCATAATTGCAATACAATGTCAGTGGAGTCGTACTGGAATTACAATAACCATTGGGGCTCTGGTCTTTAAAGCACAGCACCTTAAGAAAAGAGACAACAAAACATGTCAGTGTTAATAATAGAAAGGCCACGTGGAGAAGGTACAGGTTCCTTAAATAAATATTATCTTTTAGAATCAAACTACTATTCACGTAATACTTTTTTTCCATTGTTTTTTTTTCTTAAATGTTGATTTCTTCACCACAGCTGCACGTGAGTTCGTATTACGTATTTTTCATATTTTTACCATTGTTTAAGCAAAATTATATCACATCTAAAGTGTCTAAGAATCAAGTACCTTTTTGCCTTTGAAAATGAGGTTTTTAATTAATTATTTTTCAACACTCGTGGATTTTTGGGTCAAATTGAAATTATAAAATTGACCAAAAATATCTACCGATGTTAAAAAAATGAGACACTTTTCATGTGTGTAGTTGGTTTACGATCCACTCAAAGAATGTCGCGCCAGCCATTAATGACTCCTTGACTCATCTTGTACCTACGATGAAAAAAAAATGCACTTTTTATATGGTTGTCGTAATGTTGTATTAACGTACTTGTAGTAACCAACTCTTAGCACGCAGTTACACGAGAAGAAAGTTTTCTCGCGGCGACCGCCCGGTTACCACGCCTTCATGTACATTAATGGCGAATCTGAAATTATGCAACAACATTTAAATTATATTATATATGTAATTAAATTATATATATAATATATATAATTAGGTAATTTTGTAATTAATAAAATTACCGCGTGGCCGCCGCCCGGCCGCCGCGTAGATCAAATTCAAGCCAGGCTAGCCCGCGTGTCCGGAACGCTCATTTAAATTAAAATGTAAAAGCTGAACAAATAGAGCGTATTTTGCCATGACAGTTAGACGCACGCGGTCGCTGCGCGGCGGCAACGCGGACTCCTCTCTTTAACCGCGTGGTGCCGCCGCGGACACCGCTCGGCAACCGCGCGGCCGCCTGTTTCTTTATCTCTCCCCCTCTATCTCACACTTTGCTTTTTTGGCTTTCATTGTGTGAACAACAAAATTTAATTTAATGTGACATTATTAAAATTACAGTATAGAAATGCTAGACCGCACGGAAGCACCGACTATACAAGACGGCTACGGTATCTCAGTGGCGTACGCTTGTCTCATGGAGGTGATAAGGTCAATCGCTATCACTGTCGAGGGGAACGAGTATTTTAGGTAAATATCATCATCATAATATAATATCATTTGCCAGTTGAACCTGAGTACCTGAATCCGGCTGACTCTGCCGTTAAACAGGGAACACCGCCTGTCCCATTTAGAGTATTTTTGAAGACGGAGTAAAATGACAGTTCATTGTGCAAAAGTAATAATAATAATAATAACGCACACACTCAACATAATCCCGCACTAGGGAATCGCTGTGTCGCGGAAGCTATGGACACACCTAGGCAACCACAAATGACACCCAAACTCAACAAGAGCAGTAAATGTAGGCCATACAAATATTTCTCCCGGCCCGGGAATCGGACCTGGGAGCCTCTGCGTGGCAGTCTGGCATGGTAACCGTTAGGCCACGGAGGCAGTATGTCAAAGTGTTGCCCTCTTGCAAGCAGCTAGTGATTACAGTCGATAAATATTGTATCGATTGTCGACTGCATGTTGGTCACGCTTATGGAATAAATAGCCGAACTTGTTTCATTTGAATCAGCCTCGACCCATTATTCATCCAATAACTGAAGTTCAAGTTCATTTGAATTGTCAATTTTTGTAAGTTCATACATACATACAGTGTACTTAGAACTAGGTTTATGCAAAATGCAAAGAGGGGACATTTTAAAGTTTTTCATTTTAATTCAATAAATCCGGCTATATTCAGCTATTCCATATTAATAAAAATTGATCTCAATACTTGTAGGTCAACTGTCAAAATAAGAACAACGAAGGCAATAACGCAATTAGTAATCGTTTAGAACGTCGTAACAATTACAATTCAGTCATTTTTGGGTAAAATTTATCTTCTTTCCCAATCTATCGATAAAACTATCGACAGCAACTACATAACTATTTAAAATTTTGTGAAAAGTAGCAACCTGACCGATACTTATGTCATTTCACGGAGGTCTTCAAGAAAGACAAACTATAAATATTTGAAAATGATCTTCTAGGCCGTGGAAGATTCGGGAATCTCAAATAATAATAAAGATTATAATTTGAAATTAATTACAGAGTCACTGAAAATTCATAAAATTCAAACATTATTTATACGAGGAAGTGACATATTAAATACCATTTCAGATTACAAGAACTGTACGAAGATGGGAACTGCGATAGAGACGAAAAGGAAGCCAATAAAAATATAAACAATCAAAAAGGTAATTAATTAAGTTATCGAATGTCAGTATATTTCACCACCAAAATATTCAACTATTTTTTTGTGAAATTACTCCATTAGTTTGTCATAATAATTAATAAAAAGATTGAACAATCAGGAAAAACTCCTTCGATCTGCCTGGATTCGAACCAACGTCTTCTAGCAAACTGTACTAGAATGTCCTGAGTTCATAAAAACCTTTTGTATATATTCTCGGGTGTGGGTGTTTGTGGTACCGTTGTTGTTTCCGATTTTATTAACACAAATGCTTTAGTTACTTATTTAGGGAGCAATCACGGAAGAAGATAACAACAATGGAAGGGCCTTGATTTCTATCAGAACCGCTGTCGCCAAAACTCGTTCATAATTTAAAATACTATGAAGTCTTAAAAATGATTGATCGTACTTTCTAATTTGAATAGAAATAATAAATTCTGGACTGTTCATATAATTTAAACTTTACCCTGTTGGTATATCGTTGAAAGTTCAATGCCTATTGTTGCAAGTTACGACGTTTTTATTTTATATTTAAATTTCAATCAATGCGCTGCCATCTAGCGGTCAATAGGACTGGACGACGACGAATTCGAGGTGTTTACTTAGTTAATCAAAAAAGAAGCGACCATATTGCAGCAATGTTAGGTTGACTTTCGTATCCAGTAACAAAAATAATTTTGCGATGAACATAAAATAGAAAATTAAATAAATAAGACTTAACAATGATATGTAACTCCACCATGGATAAAATTATAAATGCGATTTTCATTTTTGCACTACAAAATAAGGCAGACCATAACGTACAAAGCTACAATGGCCGATTTAACTTAAGTTTGTGGAACTTCGCATACTGTTGACACACGTGCCACACAAACTAAGCACTTCTACTGTATTTATTGTTCTGTGGTAGCAACGTATGTGATGTCTAATATTTATTTATATTTAAGCGATGTAGATCCGAAAAAATAGTGCCATTTCCTATAAATAACAATCGCTAAAACCTAAAAACTCGTTAGTCTGACTATATTTTTTTTATTCCAGAATCAGACCAAAAGACAGACAATAAAGAAATAACGAACAACGGCCACAATGGAGAAGCAGATCAGAATTCAAACGTTGTTGACAAAATTGACGCTGACGCTGAGGACAAAGAAAGGCAGCTACAATTACAGGTAAGTCTTAAATGTTTAACACAAGAGGATTAAAAAATTCCAAGCATTTTTTTAACTGACTTTAAAAAACTGAATTATTTTGTATATGATGATGATGATTCTTTTTTTGTTGGAAAGAGGGTACCTCAATATTGGTCCCATTTAAATTTGAAGAAAATTTTCAATCCCTAAGGGGGTGGCAACTAGGGGATGAATCCGGTTTCGCGCACTTTCCGGTAAACGATTTCAATAAAACTTGGCAAATAGATGTAATACAATAACTTTTGAGGTTGGTTTATTTAAAAAAAAAATGATATAATTATTAAAGTCTAAAATAAAAATTGTGTTCCATTTAGTGATTATTGGTATTGTTTGCAGTTGCTGAAGTCGTCGTGGTGCGGCTTGGTGTGGGGTTTGTCGGTGCTGGCAGAAGCGAGTATCGGAGAACTAGAGAATATCTTACGTGCCATACAGACGCTTGCTAGGGTTAGCGGGAAGGTAAGATTACACCTCATTCTTAACAATAAAGTGGCGCAACTCCAAATGAATCGTTTTTAGGGAAAGGGTAAAATAATTAAATAAAAATATAACATTCTCATGTTTCAGAGTGTATGGTTTCACCATACAGGCGTAATTGATTATACGGGGTTGTTTGTAAAATATTAACAACCTCACAGGAGTATATTACCAATTACTTGCAGTGTTTTGTTGATACGATAGTATCATGCCATGAAAGTATTTCTTTTCTCATCTTTTTGAACGGTATATTTGTCTTTAATATTCTGTTGTAGAAAATGTGACGTCATGGTGCTCGCCATGTTCGCTATTGTGATAAAATTTTAAAATAATTTTTTATCACTCCGATGCGAGTTTATCACGCCGATTTATCACTCGAATTTCACAGCTAAATGTGGATATAATAGCTTTATCGAGGCGGCATACTACGGGCGCTAGTGTCAGGCAACCTGCCTCGGAATCGTCGATATGTGACACATTAGAGTCGAATGTGGGACCTCGCAGGTGGGGCACGCGGTGGGCCGCGACGCGTGCATCAGCGCGCTGTGCCGCGCGGCGCTGCCGGCGCAGTACTGCGTGCCGGCGCTGGGCGCGCTGCCGTGCCCCTGGCGCCGCGAGGTGCCGGCGCCCGAGCCCGACTGCCGCCACCAGGTCGTGTGGGTGGGCACGCCGCTGCCCACGGCGCAGCCGCCTGTCGGTCAGTGCCTTGCCTCCACGCTCGATTCGCTCTTGCAACGAACGATGCAGCCACCTTATCTGTTTCTGCCGTTCCGGTTTTTAATGGTGCTGGTGAAAGTACAGGCATATGGGATTTTTTTTAGTTATAAGTGACGAGACGAACAAGTCGTGTGACTGGTGGTAAGCGTCACGCCTGTCCCTAACAGTTGCAGTGTTACTCAGATCTTTAAATCACAAATCTGAGAGGCACAGCCACTGCGCCCGACACCCTGAGACATAAGTTGACGAGTCCCATGTGCCTGTAATTTCTCCAGCTCCCTTACCCTTCGAAACCGGAACGCAGTAATGATCACGTGACTGCTTGGCGGCAGAAATAGGTAAGGTGGCAGTACTTAACTGGACGAACTCTTTCACAAGGAGGTCTACTGCTACTATAACTTTGCTGGTATAACGACTTGTCAACTGAGACATATCTCAGGGTGATGGGCGCAGTGGCGGTGCCCCACAGATCTTTGCGATTTAAAACTCCGAGTGGCACTGCAACTGTCACGGATAGGTGTGTCGCTTACCACCAGGCGCACGACTTGTTCGTCCCGTCACATGATATGAAACGTTCAAAAAAAAAATTATTTTATTAATTTTTGATAGTTTCCGGAAATTTGTTTTATATTTTTATTGACATGATGTTTGAGCTAGAGAAATGCATATTTAACCTGGAATATGGTAATAAGATTAATAAATAATAATTTATGATTTTGGTATAGGCATTGATGGTTTCGTACAAATTTACACATTTCTAGTATATCATAGTTCAATTAGATTCAAGATAGTTCAATTACGCTTAATTAGCATTTGATTATTAGTTTCCATTTTGGTAATTTTGTGGCCAAATCAAACCCGCGTAAATGTCGTGGCATAAAATGAACGTGATTTAAGGGAATCTATTGTTGTCCGTCGGTAGATAACATGAATCGGCGTGAAGCATCGGCTTAGTATGCAAAAATGAAAATCGTAGCCATTTTAAATAAAAAAATAATAAAGTTTAATCGCCCCCCTGTAAAATTTGATTTAGTGCAGGTACGCGCTTTTTACGCAGATGACGATATAGATACAAGGGAGAGGCAGGATTTTGTGTTTCATAAAATGGGATTTACAATTATCTGTTTGGCCTATATTTGTGAGGATTCTAATTAATTCCTTTTGTAGAGTGAAGAGACTAGGCGTATCCGTGCTATTGCCCCATAGAATTATAACATAGTTTAACCAAGCGTAGGCTTTGACGTAATAGGGAAGTACTGCTACCTGACCTATTTCAATCAGCCAGCATTACTGTGTTAAAGTTTTCAAGGGTAACGGTGCTGGTGAAATTACAGGCACATGGGACTTGTCAACTTATGTCTCAGGGTGACGGGCGCAGTGGCAGTGCCCCTCGGATCTTTGCGATTTAAAGCACTGAGTGGCACTACAACTGTTATGGACAGGCGTGTAACTTATCATCAGGCGCACGACTTGTTCGTCCCGTCACTTGGTATTATAAAAAAAATATATAGTTAAAGCAGCGTGAAAGTCTGTTGTTTTTTTAAAATTAAGTTTTTGAACGTGATTTTTACAATTTATATGGTTATCTATATCAACATTGTTTTGTTCCTGCTCAGGTCAACAACAATCCTTCGTTATGGTGACATCGAGACACGTCACAGCAATGAAGGCTTTGCTGTGTGCGGCCCAAAGAGACGGCGACACAATACAGCAGGCTTGGTTGCCTGTACTCACCACTTTGCAGCATTTGGTTAGTGTATATTTATAAGAAAACTTACGGAACACGTCTACCACGATATTTGGTGTAACAATGTTAATTATAATAATAGGATTATAGTTTTATTAAGATAATATTGAATAGAATAGAATAGAATCCATTTATTACATAACGCCACAACACAATAATACACAATAAGAAATTAAAAAAATAAAAATAAACAAAACTAAATTAAAACAAACAGAAAATAGAATAACAAAAAAAACTAAATAAAATGAATTAAAAATAAAATCTTAGTAATAAGTAATTAAATGACCACAAAGCTAGTCAACACTGTTGTTGTACTAACTAGAGACGTCATGTGTGCGGCTGTGGCGTATGTAATAGGATCCACTCAACTAATGTCACCGCCGGGAAAAGGCTGTGACGCTGATTTTCAGTGGACCCTAAAACCGAGCGAGTACCGGACGTGTAAACTAAAATAAATTACGTATATATTTCTGTAATGTAGTATGGTGTGTTCTCTTATATTTATAAAATACTTAAATAATTCAATTGATACATATGTACAGTGATAACCGTGTATAATGTAGTGTCCATTATTTACAACAAACAAAAATGGAACTTATTTAGTTTGTAAAGATACCGATTGCAAGATTTGTGTCACATGGGCGACGCAAGATTAATAGGTAGGCGCGCGGGAGGAGTCCCCGGCTTACGAGCCACAAAATGCGGCAGCTCCGTCTAGCCCCGTTGTAAGCAAACATGTTTCGTCCTGCATCGTAGGTACTTACCAAGCATAATAGCGTGCAGTCTCCTATGCCATAATTGCGCATATTATAAATAATTTTATTGTATAATGAATTGTATATTAATATTGATCGTTAGTGACTAAATGAATGAGTGCCATCACTGCTACTCCACTGACACTATCTAGAATTTAGCAGAATAACAAATATTATCATAATTGCAATATAATCCCAGTGGAGTCTCACGTAGGATCTTATTCGTCGAGTAATGACCAAAATTAGAGACGAAGTGCCATTTAATTTGTTTGAAAACTATTCTGCCATTTCATTACGGTGACAAATGCGCTCCGATTGGCCATAATGAACGAAAATTGAAAAATTACATATTTAATATGTTACCTTTGAAATGTGATTGTTTGTTTTATAATTAGATGTTTTGCCGTTTTTCCCACACCACCGAACGGAACAGATATTATTTTTATTACAATAAATACAGAATATTTTTGTTATATACGGAGACGTACACACAGTTCAGTTGTTGGCGCTGTACTATTTCAGCTTTCTAATTTGTGATTTCAGTGCAAATGAGAGTTGATATTTAAAAGTGATATGAGGCCCATTTGCTTGATGAGTTTCCAGGGATGGATGGCCCTTATATCGCCTTTATTTCTTGTTATATAATTGATGATATCAAAGAATCAGAACGTTTATGTCAGCTGGCACTTAAAAAGGAAAACTTGTGCTATAAGTACCAGCAAACTTTCCAATGGCATAATAAAATATACAATTGTTAAAAATAACTTTTAACTAACCGACTTTAAAAAAGGAGAAGGTTCTCAATTCGACTGTATATATTTTTTCTTATGATCATTGTTTTTTCATTGGAAACAGGGTAGCTCAGTATTGGTCCCATTTAAATTTGAAGGAAATATTCCAACTTTAAGGGTGGCAAACTAGAGGATGAATCCAGTTTCGCTCACTTTCCATTAACCGATTGCAATAAAACTTGACAAATAGATGTAATTTCACGAACTTTTGAAAGGGTAAGTTTTTAAGGGTAAAGGGTAGAGGAAAGAGACGATGACGTCATAAGCTGGTAGAGCAGTGCATTCAGTCCGACGCAACATTGCCGCGAACAACGTAATACACTATAGATAATGTTGATGTTTGATGCTAATTTTTGGTAAACTATGAGCTCTGTCTTACTATAACCCTTTTGTACAGCATATTTTGGGCAAATAAGTGGTGTTATTTTATATTAGTTAATTTCTGTCTTTAAACCCGTTTGTGTATTTAAAAAAATCTTTCTTTTTGAAGGTATGGATTCTGGGGCTAAAGCCATCGACAGGCGGTAGCATGAAGGCGAGTCGAGCTAGCGCCGACGCGAACGCCGTTATGAGCACATCGGCCGTCATGGCCGATTTACCAGGTAAAAAATATGTGAATTTTTGAGAAGGTATTGCACCAAAACATCACCTATTCTGTGAGAAGTCGAACTTTGGAGTATTCTTGCTTATAGTGTCCTTTTACTTCCGCCTTAAATAGCCCAACTTTGAATAACGTTTTATAAGTGATAGGTCGCGCAATATTAATCCTTCATCTGATGATCGTACTCATGATAACAAAGAACTTAAAAATAAACACATACTATATCGCCTCGATACATTTAAGATGTGGTGATACCGACGCATGCTTTATATTAGCTAAATGCAGAAAATCAAGAACGAGACAGTACTCCTACGCATTAACAACTCACGCCAGCTGATGTGGCCCATCTCATTACATTGCACTGCACTGCACTGCACTACACTACACTACACTACACTATATTATACTATATTACATTATGCATTATTTTTAGACTTTATAATTTCATTTTAATTTGTAGTATATTTTATATATTTTTCATTATATTTATTTGGATATTTTACGTTTTGTACATTCATTGCATATTTATCTCATAATTGATACATTGAGTGTACACGCCACACAAACACTACCCATACATACACTATCCACACAAACACTCTTGCTTCACAAGGATAGACACTGGCACACAATTGTTCAGTTGTTTCGAAAAGACTTTCTTTTGAATTTTTCAAATTTGATTTCAAATGTGGTTAACTTTCATTAGTTTTACTAAATTAGTATAATTTTTGAATTGTAACTCTTGTGAATGTAAACTGCTGTTAACCCGAATAAAAAAATAAAAAATAAAATCAAGAAGCGCAAAATCACATATCTCGGTCACGTGCTTCCACACGATTGATGCCAACTGCTTCAACTTATAATGATGGGAAAGGTTGAAAGCAAGAACTACTACGCACTAGAAGACGTAGTGGACCGGAGTCAACAGCGCAGAACAGCTGTTTCGTTTGACCTTGGACAGGGACAAATTTGCCATATTGACGGCCAACCTACAGTAGTGGAGAGGCACTTTAAGAAGAAGATGAAGATATCGCCTTTATCCCATTGAAGTTAGAGAGGCTAAAAAGGTTCCCAAAATAATTCAAAATGTTTAATTTTTTTTAAATATTTCTGGTTAAAAATCAGCACTGGGCTTCGTCAATATTGCAAGTGATTTTTACACTAAAAAACTAATCTAACCTTAAAAAAATCCCGCCCCGTATCGTGGCCGCTCCCAAAGTTCCCATTATACTGGCAACATTGTCTCGCTGAACGGCAATGGACACTTGATGGACCAACCACGACCCAAAGCGGTAATCGCAGCCCCTGTCTCTGAGTCGACGACCCAACTCTTTAAACAAGTTCCGAGCTTCCGAACCCCCAGAATATTTTGATCGAAAAATCATATTACAAAATTGAAGACTACGTGTTAGATAAAGATGTATGGAAAGACGACACGGCTCCAGAATCCACACAAAGATTCAAAGTGTATTCCATAGCATTTAAGTTTATTTGAAAAGAGCAATCCCTAGAGTTTCTTGTTCGTTCTTCTCAGGGAGGTCAGCGTAGTGAACGAGCAGTAGCTTAAATGTGACGTTTTCATGTGTAAATTTATTTTACCTATGGAATAAATAATATTTAACATGTGTTAGTTTCGCGGCATTTTCAGCCGCGGAACCTGCCATACGCGAAGTTTGTCTTAAGTAGGACGCAGCAAAAGTATTTACACATGTTGCGTCCAACAGAAGACAACGACCTTTCCACCAAGGAACCAACTTCAAACCGTCCGGCCTTTTACCGTCGATTTGGCTCAGGAACCCGATTCAGAACACTTCGATATTTTAACCGAATCGTTGGATTGGATGTTGTACTCAAATCGAAGGGCGTTATTCAGTACTTTCGAATTAAACGTTCGATTAGGATACGATATCGTTCTCCAACAGCGTTTGCGGAGTTAATCGGTAAAATAGATTATATGAAAAATTAAAATCTTTTTATATACATTTTTATCACTCTAGAGGCCTAAAATATAGAAATACCTTAGTCTTGTACTAAAATAAATTAATAAAGTTTAACAAAATCCATACGTTATTTAAAATAATAAGATATTTCCATATAACTGTGTTCTCAATAAGGTTTGTAGCCTTTGCCGGTCGAGAAGCTCGGGTGAGATATCATTTCGGTTAGGTTTCGAGTACGACAGTTTGACGTTCGGTTTGGGTGTTGTAAATAAAAATGAAAAGAAATCATAAGATATCAAATCGAATCGTAAGGTTCTTAATCGACCCCCAGACCCGGGGGCCACAGTTTGAATTTTTTACTGAATCAAATTTATAACGGCGTACGCTATTTTAGATTCGAAAATATTAAATTTCTTAAACTTGTTTGTTATCTTGAGTACCATCATCAGCTGAAGTATGATCTGCCCAAAATGATCACTGCAGAGTGGATCCTTTTTGTCCCTGTGTATAGTAATTTGCGAATTGTATTGAATGTACTGACAATTATTTGCAGGGCAGCAAGTTCCCGTTGCCGAGTCACTCGGAGTCATGAGTGGTACACACGAGTCCATTTATTTAGCTGCTAGTGTTCATTTTGAAACTGTGTCTCTTTCACACGCTCGATCTTGACAGCTAAGGCACATTGCAAACAATCAAGAAAACACAAAATTAGTTGGCATAGCATCTGGCACGGTTTGCTGGGAGACGTTGGTTCAAATCCAACCGGATTGCAGTGATTTTTTTCTATGTGTTCGATCTTTGTTTAATAATTATAACAAACTATGGCGTAATTTCACAAAAAATAATTGGATATCATGATGGTGAAATAAACCTAATTAAAATTATTACAATGACATCTCTAGTCAGTGGTTGGTAGCTGTAAAGGTACATCGCTGAGTGAAGAAAAACTTTCATAGATCACAGGTACCTACAGGTACAGGTAGGACGATACGGCAAAAAATTCGCTAAAAACCAGAAACAAAAATCTCCAACAAAACACATCTAAAAATTCATGTTGTCCGTTGGTTTGTTTCGTGGTTTAGTTGGTACGGTTTGCTGGGAGACGCTGAGTCGACTCCAAGCGGATCAAAGTGAATTTTTTCTATTTTTTCTTAGGCGCTGTGGCAGTGTCCCTCGGATCTTTGCGATTTAAATCTCTGAGTGGCACTGCAACTGTTATGGACAGGCGTGTAGCTTACAACCTGGCGCACTTGTTCGTCCCATCACTTGATATTATGAAAAAAGTGTGGTAACGACATCTGGCAATCATAAATATAGCGGTAGAACCAAAATACCTAAATATCGTAGCGAAATGGCACTGGTAATGGTAATGGTATGATGCATTCCAAAACACCTAGCCGCTTAAGAATACACCGCTGTTTTCTGAAGCGAATTTTCAATCAGAATGTCGTTAAGATACATTCAATAAAACGGCTGTCTACGTTTTGCCAGATTGTAAACAGATTAAGTCATCGAGAACCTGAACCATGTCTTGGCAGCCAAATACAAGCGAAAAAAAGGTTTGTCAGCCACCAACACTGATTCTTTATTTTTGTGAAGAGGAAAAATGCTATTGATTAAGGAAATGCTGCTTTTCTTCACCTCGCCTTACTATAGCAGACTCAAACTTATAAGACTTATTTTTTGCATCAGTGGTTAATAAAAAGTTTCCAAATGGACATTAGACACTAGGGGCAAAGCTTTTGTACACAAAGTGCACTGGGATGGAGCTTGCTGGCCAGAATTTGGGTTTTTGTTTTTGTTTGTCCTTGTTTTCTTTTTTTGTTTTGTGCACTGTTTTGTTTGTAAAATATCATATCTACTTTAACCTATCGTCCACTGCTAGGCAACTTTAAACAGCATTATTAGGCCGCTACAGTGCACCTCGCCAGCTGAATTCTGGAATGCAACTTGACATTCAACATCGTAGCAATTATCGTATATTTATCTTTGTTTCGACTCAATTTCAGCAGCTATATTCACCGAGTGCGTGGGCACCCTTATTTTGAAAACAAATTGTAGAAGCACGATAGATAATGCTTCTATGACAGTATTTATGTATTATATTTAGATTATGAAGATACTTGGCTGATGGATACCTTTTTTAACAGTTCTATACAGGGTGTTGGGAAAAGTATTATTGACAGTTTTGGTAATGATTGAGCGTCGATACGGAGTTGAAGTTTTCGTGACACATAGAACCCCGCACACTGACGTCCGTTTTCATATCTGCAGTAGTTTTATTTATTTATTTAAAATGGACAGCCAACTCATGTTTAAAGTATAGCTTATAAGCTACAGTCAAAATATAAAAGCATTATAGGTTTCGCACTTACAGGCTACCACGGCATGCTGGTAGTAACAAGCGGTTTTTGTTATACAGTGTTTTTTTTAATGGGACAGCATGGGGAAATCATAGAAGATATAGGGAAAGTGTCTTAGGAACCATTAAATCTTTTTTTTTGTAAAAACAATTTTTGCATAGTCAATTATTTGGTCAAGCGTGAGATGTCCATAAAAATGAATGAAAGTGATCGAAAAATTTTTTGTGCTAATCAACTCAGTGTCATGAAGGGATCATTTCCTTGTATAAGGCAAAAAAATGTCCAATTAAAAAAACTCTGTATATAAGTTTACACTTTCAAATTTATATAGCAATAGATTACAAATTAATATAATTACTTAATATGACATGCACACACGCACAGCCCCGCACTAGGGAAACCCTGTATCGTGGGAGCCATGGACACACACATAGACAACCACAAGTTACACCCAAACTCACGTGAGAAATAAATGTCGACTATACCAATATTTCTCTCGGCACGGGAATCGAACCCGGGACCTCTGCGTGGCTGTCTGTGATGTTAACCGTTCGACCACGGAGGCAGTTAATATAATTTTATTTTAATTGCTAGTAAACGTGAATGTTTTAATTTTAGTTTTGAAGCTGGACAAGGAATCATTAAAAATATCCAAATCACATAGTCTATGTATTATGTAGAATATAATATTTCCCTATATGGCCCCTGCCACCCTCCCAGCTGCTGATAGAACCTCTTGGAATGATTTTAAAGACGCTACTGACACCTAGAAAAGTAAACATTTCGGGCCTTTTACAACTCCATCCAGTCAACGTTGGTTTGTTTGAAAAACAAATATACGCAATTAAAAACTGGAAAATAGTTTCATCTCCCAGATGGATCATCGATTTTAGAGTACATTAGTTCTTATCGTTCTTTTGTTCCAGTGTCGAAGAATGATAGAAACAATGTAGCAGAATTAGAAAATAAATATTGAGAACTCACGCCCAAAATGTCTTTCTTCATAAATAACAAAATTAAGCTTGATACCGTCCAATTAATTGAATAATAAATATAGTATTATTGAAAACGTTATTTTGCTTCTGAAGTTTCATAGACAGCTTTCAACTACGTAGTTCAATATTTTGCCATTAGATTGCGCCTCAGAATGTCTTCCAAGTTTTTGTATAGGAAAATCGTTCCTTTAAATTTTAGTGTGGGAGAACATAAATTAAAAAAAACAATCATAAACATCAACATGTAAGCAACAAACACTAACTGTCCTTTTCTACCATTATCTGAATAACGTATGCAAACAAGTGTTGCTGCTGCAACCGTGTACATAGACACCGTAATTGCAAACCTACATGTCGCCGGCTAAATTTGAAAACGTCGTAGCTCCGTTTTTGGATGGAACCCCCTTTTTTACTAAGAGCAATATCGAGCCATTAAGGCTTAAAATATAATTTCTAGACTTTTTTTAGTTGTAAAGGATAGGTATAATCATAGATTGTCACATAATTATTTCTAGTAATTCTGTTTTTATGCCTAATCAACTTTACGAATTTAACCGACGATGTGTAATTTATATCAACAAGAATTAATTCCACCACAGATTACAAATTGATTATTAAAAAAATACACCCCAATCAAGACGGTAATTTTCACAATATTCACACTGAATCATTCTCCAAAATGTTTATACTTTTCTTAGCACCCAATATTACTACATAGGGCGCATTATAAGTTTCCGGAACTGACCACTTACGTAAACAATATTTAAAAAGTAATTACAACATTTGAAATTGGAACTGTTTGGCTGTAGAATACAGTTTGTTTCTGACTGTCACTTGTTACATTGTGATTGTCATTTTAGAAATTGGTTGTCTACATCACCATGTAATTAACTCGTGAAAGTTTTCGTAGTATGATTTTTTAAGTGTAATTTAACAGCTCAGCGGAGTTTCGCTCGGCTTCAAACTACTTTTGACGATGAAGCACCATGCAAGAAGACTATTTCTAGCTGGTTGGCAGAATTCAAACGCGGTCGTGTGAATCTCAGTGACGAATTTCGTGATGGTCGACCGTCCACTGCTGTGAACAACAAAAACATCGATGCTGTGCGCCGTATGATCAAAACACACAGACATGTGACATACCATGAGATTCGGGCATCTTTAGGCACAGGCATGAGTCAAATACCAACATTTGGGTGTGAAAAAGCTGTGCTCTCAGTGGATCCCACACAATTTGACTGAGGGTCAAAAAACGGATTGCGTCACTTGGTGCAATGCCATGCTTACCAGATGCAACGAAGGGGCGTCAAACTAAGGGTCGTATTCCATAACTGTACTCAATGCTTAAGTCAGGATTTGAGCATACTTGAGTATGATTTCTACTCTGGAAATACGACTCTAATGGCAAGAACTTGAGTATGATTTCTAGTGCTTTAAATTATACTCAAGTCCTGACTTGAGCATTGAGTAGAGTTCTAGAATACGAACCTTAGTGTGGGACATAATAACAAGTGACGAAACATGGATTATAGTTACGATCCCAAAACAACGCAGCAATCGAGCGCATGAGATGTTTCGAGATGAGCCGAAACCAACCAAAGTGGCGCGCGTGCAAAGTTCCTCTAAGCTGATGATTGCTTCTTTTTTTAATAAAAGTGGACACGTGGCTACTGCTGCTTTGGAGAATCGTTGTACCGTGAATATTGATTAGTACACGACCATTTCGTTCTTCAACAACGTTCGACAACTTCGTAAAAATAACCGTAAACGCCTTATCATCTTGCACCACGTTAATACCAGTTCTCATACGGCCAGACAGACAAATTAATTTTTAAAAGTGAACAACGTTGACCTTATGAGCTCTCCCACGTGCAGTCCCGACCTGGTACCTTGTGACTTTTATTCATTTCCAAAAATTAAGAACCAGTTACGCGGTCAACGATTTTCATCACCTGAAGAGGCTGTCGAAAAGTATGAAAAATATGTCTCAGAGATTGTCACGGAGGAGTAGCATAAATGTTTTCAAAATTGTTTTATTCGAATGAAAAAGTGCATTAACGCTAACGGAGAATATTTTGAGAGACAATAAATTCATTTCTAACCATTTATAGTATTTTTTTTTCTTATTCATTCCGGAAACGTATAGTGCGCCACACGTAGAAGTAGACTTGTTCCCGTCTACGTTATGATGTAAAATCACTAACAATATTATATTCCAGCTCTCTCAGCGATGCTGTCTCGAGTCTTCGAGTCGTCCAAGAACTTGGACGACGTAGCATTGCACCATTTGATTGATGCTCTCTGTAAGCTGTCCAATGAAGCAATGGAACTAGCATATTCTAACCGGGTACGTAACTTGTTTTTCACCACACTTGCTCGTAAACAGTGTCATGACATGCAAGCAAAGTGGACCGTAATGTCCTAAATTATGCCCACGAGCTTTTTCATTACATTATCAAAAAACAGAACAACGTCCAGTATTTTTACAATTTGGAAATTATTTATTTTATATCTAATACGTTGTGGCTGCACGGATCTGTGCCTTTTATAACATTTTAGTTCGAGTTCAATTATCTATGGAAGAATAGCTGGCAATCTGTTCACAAAGAAAAAAAACGAAAAACCCGCCATTTGCAAATCGAGTCAATAAAACCATCTCGTTGGTATTTTTTTATTTACCGCCCTTAATATGTGTATTAAGAAGGTGATAATAAGTGTATTACATTGTGATGTACTAATTATGTTATTGCTGCTTTGACGTATGCATGATGCTTCAAAGTTGTGGGCTGTGCGTGGAGTGCAGACGAATAGTATACGTTGTCGATGACTCTAGGATTGAAAATTTGTTGTTTTTGATGTTAGGAATAATAGTCGTAGTAGTCGTGCAATGTTGTTAGTATTTTACAAACACCTTGTGTATTTATTTTTACAGGAGCCATCACTGTTCGCTGTAGCCAAATTATTAGAGACTGGTTTGGCGAATATGCACAGGATAGAAGTTACATGGAGGCCTATTACTAACCATTTATTGGAGGTAATTATATTATAGGTAATGCATTATACAATTAAGACTTGATACTACCTTAGCTCAAATTAAAATTTTTCCCGTACTAATACGGTTTATTGCGCTTGGATTGTGCGACAGGGCACTGGCTTTATTTCAGAATTAATTTTTTTACTAACACAATTAAAGTCATTTGAAAATCGTATATCATAAAGTAAACTTGTTCTATTTACTTTAGTTGGTATTTAAAAAAACCTTAGTATCTGTGAAGTACCTGTGGAATACAGCGCTTTTCTTGTAAAATTTCGTGTTTTTTTTCTGTCCTGATAATTTTTGAGGAATCGCGTTTCACATAGGAAATGAACCTATTTTTCCGGATTTAAACTGCGTATATTTGTTTTTTCAAACTAACCGACGTTTCGGGCCCTTTACAGGTCCCATGGTCACGGTTGTTTGAAAAAACAAATATACGCGATTTAAATCCGGAAAAATAGTTTCATTTCTTATGTGTAACAATCGTGAAGACCTAAGAACTCGAATCGTGTTTTTTTTACTTTTTTTTACTGTAATATTTTCACTGGTATGCGGAATGAACCAAAGCCATTTAAGATTGTATCAACTCTTAAAGATTATTATACATTTAACGCCTTAGCAATTTGTCAACACAGCCTCGCCTCAAAATTACAGTATTGATAAACGGATTTACTTGTGTAAGATTGGACGAACAAGTTGTGGGCTTGATGGTAAGTGACACTCCTATTCATCACAGATGTATTTGCTGCTTGGTGGTAGAAATAGATATGGTGGCAGTACTTCCCTGAACAAACGCCTTTACAATTAGCTTTAAACTCGTAAGTTTCGCAGCTATTCCAATTTGTATCAAAGTTGACGTTTGCATTGGTAACCCATTGCATTGTCGTATAGATTTGTCATTTTGATTTTCACGCTCATCAGTGAGCTTCTGCAATTTAAAGCTTATCTTAACAATTTAATTATAAAGTTACTGTTAGTAAGTTACGTTAGGTAAGTTAAGAAATACTTGAGATTTCTCATAGATGGCGCTACGGCTAAAAAGTCGTTAAAAAACCAAATATGAAGACAAGACAGCATACACATAGAAAAATTAGTGAGGTCCGCTGGTTTGTTCCGTGGTTTAGTTGGTATAGCGTCTGCCACGGTATGCTAGAAGACGTCGGTTCGAATCCGGCCCGTTATTTTTTCTGAGTGTTCGATCTTTGCATTAATAATTTTATAATTATTACTATTACAAGTTAATTAAGTTATTACAAGCTAGTGGAGTTATTTCACATAAAAAAATATTGAATATCAATTCAATAAAAATTTAAATATGAAGTTACGGCTTAAGATTTTATAACATATATTAATACAATTTAACAAAATAAGTTAAAACAAAAACCTGCCTAATCCGAAAAGGAGTGAAGGATATAATGTTCTGAACAACGCATCAACTGCCTTCCATTATTGTGATTTAAACTTTGAAATATGTAGTAAGCCTTACAACACAGTCCATTTTTTCAATACACAAGTTTGAGGCGAGGCAGTGGCAGTTATATGTGGGATAACCTTTAGGCTCAGCTGGTAAGCGCAACTAAAAAAAATTATTTTCCAGGTGTGTCAACATCCTCATATAAGAATGAGAGAATGGGGCGTCGAAGCCATAACTTATTTAGTGCAAGCCGCTTTCCAGTATCATCACAACAACCCTGTTCATGTAACTGAGGTGAGTTTGCATAAGTATGTGTAAGACAAATGTAGAGTTAGACTTTACAAACTAGCGATTATATAAATGACAATAACATAGTATAATAGTTAACTACACAAAATAATGACTGCCCCTGTGGCCGAACGGTAACCATGCTGGACCGCCACGAAGAGGCACATTTATTTCTCTCGTGAGTTTGGGTGTAAAATGTTTACACCCAAACTCACACGTAGGATATTATTAAGAATTGAAATTAAAATTAAGATTTGACATTTTAGAATTAAAACTAATATACTTTTAAATTATTTTCATTAAGTTAATTGTACGTTATAAAGTTGGCAATACGTACTGACACAATAATGTTATTAAGACCTTCTAGACATACGTACACAATAAATTACTTGATTTGACAAACAATAAACTAGAGCATAATATTGTTAGAGCATATAAAATTACACAAAATGTTATAAAGGGAGAATACACAACATTTGTGTTCACTGCACAAATACACTGTTCAAAACACAGTACATCGCTTGCGAATCTACAGAACGAGTGTAGATTCGCGTTTTCTCACAAATGGATTCTTTTAGGCTCGAGAACGCCTTCTTCTGGAACCCCTGGCGGAACTATGTTCAGTACGGCATTGTGACGTCAGAGCGCGGCAGCTGGAATGCGCCGCACGGCTATTACATTCACGAGGAGACCAGCTTGGTGCGGCTTGGCCTCTGATGATGGAGATAATCTCTGCTATATCTGCACATCACAGGTATTAATACTAGCTGATTCGTTCTTGCCTCTTTCTGCATATAGTTAGACATTATTTTACTGCCTCCGTGGCCAAATGGTTACCATTCCGGCCTGCCCCGCAGAAGTCCCAGGTTCGATTCCCGGGCCGGAAGAAATTTCTCTCGTAAGTTTGAGTGTAAGTTGTGGTTGTGTATGTGTGTATCCATGGCACCCACGATAGAGGGCTTCCTTAGTGCGGGGCCGTGTTGAGTGTGTGCGTTATTAAAAAAAAAAGTGTGCGTTATTTCTCAGAATTATTTTTTTTTATCAAAAAATGAGTGCCCATCTGACCTCCTGACGGAAAGATCGCCGATGGAGCGTGCACATCTGAATAATGCCTATTCACTCTGGCCTTGAAAACGGCCCAAGTTTTCCGTGAACAAATCTGCAGGCAGGGGATTCCACTCTATAGTCATTCGCCACATAAAAGTGGAAGCGTCACAAATCTCAGCCTAGGTCTAGTCTCCCCAAGATGGAAAGGGGAAAGTGTTACTGCCACTGCCTTACCACCAGACGCACTATATTTTTATTCCATTTACTTAGTCATCATAAAAAAAATCTATGAACAGATATGGACCTATAACTTAGGAAGTCTGCTAATCTTCATACTACAGATCGTAGCTCTGAAAAAGGTCAAAATTCCGTCTTATATCTAGTTCAGTTAAGCCTTTATGTTATGTAAATGGCCATGGATATCAAATTATGAAATATGAGAAGTCAGTTATTTCCTTGTAATATTATTGAAATATTGATCATTATATTATTCTCTGAACTTTAATAAATATGGATGTCAATAGATGGCAGTGTGTGCTACAAACTATAGTACCGGCACGCTATGATGGCCGTTTTGACGTTTGTCCGCTCATCAAGTTTCGTATTAATTCATAACTACGTGACGTGTAGTAAAATTTATGTAATGTATAATTTTACGACACAACTCGACATTTGTTTTTCGAGATTCGAATTTAAAAAACTTTAAATTTAATACGAAAAATGTTAAGTAAACAATTTTATTTTCGTTTTATTAAAACTTTCTAATGAGCAACCCCTTGCAATACTAGTTATAAATCTATCGATCTGTCTAAAAACTTATTGTTGCGACTCGCATTTGATTATGTTTTTTACGATAATGAATTGAGACATGACCTCACTGTTGTAATCTGTCAAAACGGTCATCATAGCATGCCGGTACTTTTATTTTTTAAATTAACGCTTCCTAATGTGGATAGATGGCGCTAATCCTAAATAAAATAAAAGGATAGCCAGCACTTACCATAAAAATCTTTGCAATAAGCGCCATCAAGTTGATTCGTTTGGTATCACTGCTAAACTGCTTTGATAAATTGCAGCTTGTCAATGTAAAATGTGTGTATTTATCGCGATTAGCCATCGTCTTGAGTTATCAGTCCACGGAAGAGATTAAGAAAGTAGCGAGTGGAGGTTCATAGTCTCGTCCTACCCGGCTGGGAGACAGGTGTGAACCAGTGAGTATAAATAAATAACACATTTTTACAGTGAACAACTTATCCGGTCAGCCTTCCAATGCGCGCAAGTGGTAGCCGGCGACCTTCTCGGCTGCGCCGGCCCGAGGTGTCTCCGACGCGTTTTGACTACAGCTGCTGCGTTTGCGCAACAGACCAAGGAACTCAACATCAGCCTTACGGCTGTGGGACTTATGGTGAGTGAATAGTCGTAGTCATCTTCCATTCCAGTCAGGTTCCATTCGGTGGTGTGGAAAAAACAGCAAAACATCTAATTAGAAAACAAACGGAATCACATTTCGTCGGTAATTAAATATGTAATTTTGCAATAATTGTCCATTATGGCATAGCTCAAGTGAAACTGGTCGATTGGAAGTGGAACAATTGACGACACCCATCAATTGTTTCGAATTCGGGCTGGCCAATCGGGGCGCAGTTGTCACACTAATGATTTGGCAGAATAGTTTTCAAACAAATTAAATAACATTTCGTATCTATATATACATACCGACTCATCCGAAGAACAAAGTCCAATGCGATTATATAGCTAAAAGATAATAAGTACGCTATGAGAACAATTTCGTTATTCAAACTAAAGCCTGTGTTAAGGTGTTTTGAGAATTAATATATCTTATTTCGTTTTGCTAATACAAAATCGAACGACAGTCGATCTGACATCCACAGCGACGAAGAAGGTACGTAATGTACTATGTCCTGAGAACAAGTAGTCTTGCACATAGACCTTTGTTCTACGGATGAGTCGATACGGTACTAATGATATGAATGTGCCCAACAACCACACCAAATATGAAAACTTTTGCTGTTGTTACCTCAGGAATGATGAATTGTTGTGAGTTATTACTGTAATTCCCCAATAACAACAAGCATAGCAGCAAAAGTTTTCAAAAGTACATTTTAGACAAACTATCAAAATCAACGAAATCTATAGGCGCCATTTTCGTAAAACTATGATTATGTTTAGGAAATGAAACTACACTCCCGGACACATAATTCGAGCCACCTCGCATTTTCAGTGTTAAATGCCCTCCGCTTAAACAATGTTTGATTGATCAAAAACTATAAAGCAATTTTGAAATTAGTATACTAAACGCCTTTTCCATAAATCCATGTTGGAAATTTGGATTTACAAAACCGGGGGAAAACTTTGTCTTCGACGATAAGACTACTTTTGTATTCTAAGATTTTAAGACAAAAATGCGAGGTGGCTCGAATTATGTGTCCGGAAGTATATTTTCCGGATTTAAATCGCCTATATTTGTTTTTTCAAACAAGCCGACGTTTCGGGCTCTTTACAGGTCCCATGGTCACAGTTGACTGAGGTGGTACAGTCATCAACCAGTTATGTCTAATATTAATGCAAACCACCCTATTAATGATATACTTTATTTTTAATTTTACAAAGAAAACATTCCAATTTACGCTACATTACGTTTTACAAATTATTTTATTGAATAAATTTTTATTAAGTTCAGTTTATAATATTATAATTAATAATAGAAATTGGTATAAATTAAAACATATTCATTAGATCTGCAGTCGTGTGTCTGTTTGGGATTTTTCATCAGAGGATATATTGGATTCCAAACTGGTGGTACGGAGAAACCATCTTCCCTGTTGAAATTAGGATGTTTTTTAATTTCAATGGCCTCTGATATGATCGTGTTGTTTGACACGTTATTGCTTATTAACATCCAACTAATAACATTAATCTCTTAATATTTACCAGTGGAACATCTCTGACTACCTCTACCACAACCGCGACAAGCTAGTGGCAGCCCTGGCTAATGACACGGCGGTGTGCCCAGAAGTGCCCAACCATGCTGAGTTGCCTCCACTCGACAAGCTCTGGATGTGTCTTTACATTAGACTCAGTAAGTCAAACAACTGCGTTGAAGCTACTGACAACGACATCTATCGGTAGAATTACGAATTATTGCTTAAGATTTGACAAATAAAAATGGATGTCAAGTTCTTTGCTACTCCGCGGATACAGAGCATTTGCTCGCTACGTCCTATTCGTGTCAGTTCCGAATCCGAAAAATGATTAAATGTCACAGGGATCATTTTATCTGTAGGTTGTGACGGTGTGACCTCCTTACACCGTCAACTCACCTTTTTGTATCGTATCATTTTTTCTTTTGCTTGTTTAAATTTTAAATTTGAATTACTCCATCTTCCTTCGCTTTCTCATTTTTGCTTCGTACCATGGTCACTCTCTGCTTGACCGCGATAGCGGACAGAACTACTAAATCAAATTGTCAAATTTTTTATTCTTTTCAAGTTTAATCATAATACAATCAATGTAAATCTTGTATCGACCATAATGAGCGAATAACAGTCTATCCAATATCTGTAATTCAACATAATACAAGGGTTTTTTTTACTTTACCTTTCGTTTTACTTTACTTCTTTTAATAAATGTTGTGGACCGGAAGTTTCCTGTTTTACTGCCGTGATCCTGATCACGGTTGTTAGGGTTACAACCCTTTCAGGTATACTACGCTATCCGTATTTTCTCGGATTCGAATCTTTTCGGACTTAGTGCACAAGCAACATCCGAAGAGGGTCCGAATTTTCTAGATTTGTTGAGGCTCGGATTGAACTACAACATAATTGATCTACTATCCACGCCGCAAAAGTGGTGCAACCTCAAAAAATGCACATCGTCGTTAACGTACAACACCTATGAAGTCATTTCGAGTAATTTGAAAGAGAGTGAGAAAACTCCATAGATTTTTATTTAAATACTGTTAGTAATTTTATTATTAATATAAATTTGAGAAAACCTTGATTCTAGATTCTGATGTGTGTATATAATATTCAATAAAAATAAATAATATGACAAACTATTAATTTTTTTAGGTGAACTATGTACGGAACCGAGAGCACCAGTCCGCCGTGCGGCCAGCCAGACGTTGTTTAGCTGCATCGGCGCCCACGGCACTCTACTTAGCAAGCCCGCCTGGAGAACTTTGTTGGCTGTGCTCTTCCCTATGCTGGATCAGGTGATGTAGCCCTTACAAAATTTGTAATTTGTTTATTTCACAGTACGTACACATTATCATCCACCCATTTATACGTTCTACTGCTAGGCACTGATCTCTTAAGGCCATGATCCGCCACGTTGGCCCGATTTGGGTTGGGAACGTCACACGTTTTACGAGGGCTGGTGGTTTTACCACCGTGTTTTCCTTCTCCGATAAGCTCACGGTAAATTTTAAATTTAATTTTGCACATAAATTCCGAGAAACTCAGAGGCACGAGTCCGGTTTCTAACCCGCGACCTACTGCCTCTGAAGGCAATAGGTCGAACTATTAGGATGCCTCGGCTTTTCTGGATGCAATAGATAAGTCTTAAACGATTATCTATTACTTCATTGCCATTTTAAAGAAAACAGTTATCGATTACTCCGACCCCTCCTACGTAAAGTATTGTATGTCGAAATTGGCAAGTTTGCAGGGGAGCGTTTTAAAGTTTTGAATTCACTGAAATGAGTATAGCACGTGACTAGTAAATTTTAAAATGATAAAATAAATTTTGGTTGTTCATCTAACCGATATGTGTTATGCTCATTTCAATGAATTCAAAACTTTAAAACGCTCCCCTGTAAAGTTGGCAATTTCGACATACGATACTTCACGTAAGAGGAGTCGTCGATTTAAAAAAATGGCAACAATAGCAGCGGAGTGGGAGGGGCATTAGGGCTTTTGCAGAGATATTTACCTTAACTAAATACGTATCGCTATCCTGTTATTTATCAAGCATATTTGTTGTTACAGGTTCAAAAACAATCGAACATAGCGAGTTCAGAGAAGGTGGACACGGGAGAACACATATTAATACATCACACGAGAAATACGGCACAGAAACAATGGGCCGAAACGCAGGTGAGTTACCACCACAGACATATATCTAGATAGATGCCGCAAGTACAGCAATTTGTATGAAAACCAAGCGTGCCACATATTTTGTACCCACTATGACGTTACAAGAACTACTTAGTGATGGAAACCTCTTTCCGCTCGCTCTAAATCGATATTATATTATCGATATTCCATTAAACTAATCGATTCTAAATCAAATAATTTTTTTCCGGATTTAAATCGCGTATTTCAAATAAGCTTTTTCAAAGAAACCAACGTTAAAAATAAGGTATTTAATTAATAACTTTGTAACTATAATGAAAAAGTAGAGTGGTTTGCATTAATATTAGACATAACTGGTTGATGACTGTACCACCTCAGTCAACCGTGACCATGGGACCTGTAAAGGGCCCGAAACGTCGGTATGTTTGAAAAAACAAATATACGCGATTTAAATCGGGAAAAATAGTTTCGTTTCCTATGTGTAACAATCGCGAAAGCCTGAGAACTCGATGTAAACAGTATTTATTTCAAATTTGATTGCAAAATGAAAGTGTTTCCAGTTTTGATTTATTATTCCTCAGGTGTTAACCCTCTCAGGGGTATCGCGAGTATTCCACTCCAGGTTTCAGCTGTTGACTACAGTAGGAGACTTCAGCAGGTCCTGGGCGGCGCTTCTAGATTATATCACTGACTTCGCATTGAGAAGGAGCCACGAGGTGAGATTTCTGTCCTTTCAGGCGGATTGGTGACTCTGGGACAACTATAAGTATAAGTAAGTCGATCTTTGTATGAATAATTATATTTTATTCAATTATGTAAAATATTACCTCCAAAACTTCAAAGTGGAATATCTTTAATTCTAGACTTCTCAGAATAGTAAACTCAGAACCAAATTTCTTCAGGAATTTAAACTCTATATTGTCACACCTTTTTCATAAATTTATTTTAAAATTTAATGTCGGAGTTCGCCATTGTTCTTTATTTGTGTAATGCTTTGTTAAAGAACAGGATCAGTGGAAGAATTCTTCGAAACCCAGTGGCGACATGTAAAAATTAGGGCCAGCTCAAACTATTTTATCAATTTATATTTTGTGCTGTAACAATTAAAATAAGTAATAAATTGTAAATTTACGCTTCCAGGTGTCAGTAGCAGCTTTAAAATCATTCCAAGAGGTAGTATCGGCAGCAGGGAGGGCGGCAGAGGCCACAGAAGGCGGGGTACTGCAGAGACGAGTATGGGCGTCAGCTTGGACCGCCTGGACTAACATCGCTTCTGCTTTATCAGAACCACAACCCTGTGAGTTGATTACCGGTCTTATAATAGCACCTTATAGACCTCAAAAGAGTCCACCGAAACTGACAACAGTGGATCTTAGCATGAGTCGTCTGGATTAACATGGCATCTGCCTCTGCCTCATCGTCAGGTCTCAGTTATATTGTCCCTTATACTTCCAACTTAGCCATTATGCGTCAAAACACAGTCATGGATGGTTTATCTGACTGACTGAGTGACGAGACGAAGAAGCCCACTTGGTGGTAAGTGACACGCCTGTCCATAAATGCTGCAGTACCACTCAGGGCTGTAAATCACATAGATCTGAGGGGCACTGCGACTGCGCCTGTCGCCCTGAGACACAAGTTGACAAGTCTCATGTGCCTGTAATTTCACCAGCACCCTTACCCTTCAAAACCGGAACGCAGCAATGCTGACATTACTGCTTGGCAGCAGAAATAGGCAATAGGCAGTACTTCCTAGGAACTCTTTTACAAGGAGCTCTACTACTACTACAAATGATGAGATCCGAGAATTCTCTTTCATGTAGCCTGTATATTTATATAACTCTGTATTTATTATCGACTAAAGTTGTCTGAGAACAAACTATTTTGAATTTGAAAAATTTTACTTAGCTTTGTATAGTTCTTCGAGAATTTTCATACGTTAGAATTTCTTTTTAAATATTTTTTTTTATGAACCAACAATTAGTCCTCATCCTGCTGCGTAAACATTGGATCTGCCCTAAACCAACAAACTTATTGCCACACATCAGACGATATGCGATAATTAACCGTACGTATGAACTCTAAATTCTGTCAGTACCTTGCTTTAATTTACCATTTTGTCTCCAGTGCCCGAAGACGGCAAGGCGGTGGAAATGTACGCACCCTCGCTCAACTTCCTCACAACTTTAGTCCAAATATTCCCTCTCATCTTCCAACACATACGACCTACGTAAGTTTGTATTTTATATTTATAATATTGCCGTTCTCTCCTTACACATCGTTCGTATCGGCGAGGAAAAGGAGCAATGTTTGCTTTAAGTTACTTTAAGTTTCTAAATAGCTTTAAGTTAATAATAACTAATTTTAACTATCTAGGTATAACTCATTTACAATCTAAATGTACCTACATTTGGTCTCCTGTACCTTAGAGATATAACAAATCCTTTAACAGTGTTTCTGTATAAATCACATATTTTAGAAGAACCAAGAAATACTTCAAATGTTTTCACAGATAATTAGCAACTGTGTCAATTGTTTTGACCGATAATAGTAGAAAAAATATATCTGTTAAATGTTTCGACTGATAATTAATAGCAAACATAAATCTGTCCCATGTTTTCGATACCTCCAATGAACTACCAACTATATTTTTTTGTCATTTTCTTATTTTTATTTAAACTTTCACGATTTTACATTATTTGATTTTCAATTCGAGTATGTATAGAACATATTTTAATTACCTCGACGTTTCGGACGTATGCAACGTCCATTGTCTCGAAGAACTGAAGAGGCGGGTGTCAGCATCATCTAGCCGTGCGAGTTTTTCTAACTAACCGCACTTGGTCTTCATTATTTATTTGTGCATTAGGGTGACACCTGCCTCTGCAGTTCCTTCGAGAACATGGACATTGCAAAACGTCGAGGTAACAAAATTAAGTTTTATGCATGATTAAGTCCCGAATTAAAAATCAAATATTATTATGCTCCCCGAATTTTGTGAATAAAAAAGCAAAAAATATAATTAGAAAAAATAACAAAAAAAACGAATTTTGTAAAAAAAATAAAGAAACAAAATAAAAACAGAACAGGTCTTAAAATTAAGTAGGCGTAGTGTTTTGATTGACAATTATTACTTTTATTTTTCAAATATTTTGACCGATAATTAGTAGAAACAATGGTTTGAATGCCAACATTGAGCCGGAAAGTCAGACAGAGTGGTCTTTCCGAGTTGAAGAAGAAGTAACAGTCCTAGCTCGTATTAATTTAGTTTACAGTATTTTTCTATTGTTACTAGATTCACCCCTGCAGACGTTCAGAAGTTAGGCGAATGTTTGTCGAACATTTGCTCAGTGGAACCTTCGGCGTCGGCGCTGGACGGCCTCGGCACTACTTGCGCGCCTGTTAGTTTGCACGCCCTTCATTGTCTCGACACTGTGCATAAGGTAGGTCCATAAACGAGGGTAATATGCGTGATGAACATGTGTATTAGGTGCACCCGTGCTTAATATCCCTTAAACCTCTAATATACCTTGCTTCCAATATGAAATCTGAATTCGGATTACGTAAGTTACTTTTTCTCAAACACGTTCAGAAATGTTTGCATTACAATATAGAAGTTTGTCCATTTATGGGGCGTGTTGTTTTAACCTTTTAAATATATCTACTAACAAAGAGTTATGTAAATAGACTAAAGAAAAACTGTCATACTGCCATTTGCTCACTAGCATCGGTTTCCGTAATTACGAGAATTAAAAAAATATTGTCTTTGATATTGCTTATTTTTGCGTTTAATTATGGTGCACGTATATACTGCACTACATTAAAAAAGACGTCATAAAATAAACAAAAGTAGTTTTATTCTAAAATGAATTTATGATTCTTTTTTGTTGTTTCTATGTTTTATATTTTCTTCAAAAAAAATGAGTTCTAGTTAAAGGAGCGCCAATACAGCATAGGATAATGTGGCCCAATTTTTTTTTATTTTTCTCTCTGATCTCTGAGCTCCGCACTAGGTAAACCTTGTACCGTGAGTGCCATGGACACACACATAGACAACCATAAATTATATATAAATAGCCATATAAATATTTCTCCCAACTCAGAACTTGAACGCGGGATCTCTGCTTGGCGTAGAACAAGAAGCATAATTTGTTATAGAAAACTTGTTTCTGCCTAAAAGCACACTAAAATACATGAAAATGTATGATTACTTTTTCGGTTACATATTCTCCTTCATTCTTTATGTTTTATTATCTCCTCGCATTGTTTGGGAAAAGCGCTATACTACGACGGGAACGGGGACTGCCCGACTCGTATAACCTCGCGTAACTCATTCTCGTCTGGCAGCCCTTTGCTTTCCGGCCTCCGCAATAACGTCTATGTCCTGTCTAAGCTGTAAGTTTCGAGCAGGAGGCGCTAGTGCGGCACGAGCTGCTGTCGGCGATGTTCGGCGCGCTGACGGGGCTGGCGCGCGCCTGCGCCGACCAGCCGGGCGCCACGGCGCGCTGCCTGGCGGCCGCCGCGGCGCTGTACCGGGCGGCGCCGGCGCTCTGCGTCGACGTGCTGCCGCAGCTGCTGCAGGTTGGCTTCCTCGCTCCACAGAGGGCGCTGTGCCTAATTCACCTACCCCAATCAAAATGACCAGTAATTAAAATGCACTCGCTTGCTCATTTTTTATTTATTCCTATTCGTGGAAATTCCCAACGGCCACAGAATTCTTTCTTCTTATTTAAAAATCCAATAATCCCTGTTCAGCAGCGCCCTCAGTTTTTAACTTCCTGTTACGTTACGACATTAATTTGTTCCCTTATCGGAACTAAATAACCTCGTCTCGTTCTTTTTCTCTCTTTCTTTCGAAAACTGTCGTGACGTATCAGATGCCCAAAAACCATTCGTCAACACAACTGCTCTTAACTGTGTGTTTATAATACAGATACGAGAATACACTACGACAGTACAAAAATAAATACAGTTTCATTTATATTACATCTAATACGAAAATTTTTGACAAATACGTTTTAGGTAAACCATTGAACCGTTTGACAAGTAACACTGTTTCGTTAATTCAGGTAATAGCCGCCTGTGAAGTTTTATCATTTGCCAACAGAGGGCTCTGTAACCAATTTTTTTTTCTCGCGTCGTAGGCTCTCCATTCGGCCGTTAAGAAATGCACGGTCGACAAGCGGCGAAGAAGCAACGACCAACCGGACGAACCCACGCAGATAGCTTCACTTTTATTGCAAGTAAGTATTTTAACTTTGTTTTGTATAAAAGTGTACGAATGTTTATTTACAAAGAGTAACCCCTAGAGCTTTTACTCATTCTTCTTCAAGAAAATTGCCTTATGAGTGCGTTAGTCTGTTGAAGGTGAAGTAAAATGACATTTCTTGGGTTGCTAATTTTCGTTAAATTTTAAATAGTGATGTAGTTATTGTCGACATTTTTATCGGTGTATAGTGAAATTATGTAGGTAAAATTTTGCCAAAAATCTCTGCATTGTAAATGTTACGACGTTCTAATGATTACTAATTGCGTTATTGTATTCTTTATTCTTATTTTGACAGTTGCTCTATTATTATCAAATTCAATTTTTAGTCATGTACATTTCAATAGCGACAGGCTGATTTTATTATGTATATTAAATGAAAATAAGAAACTTTAAAATCTGTCTCCTATTTGTGTTTTTAATACACATAGGAGATGTGTATTAAAAACACAATGTATGAATGAATTTTCAAAAATTAACAATTCCAATGAACCAGTGCCCAGCAGTTGGACTTATAAAGGGCTGAAGATGAATGAAATAAGTTTAGCTATTTATGAAATAAGCGTATCCATGTTGGTTACCAGTCTATAGTCGATATAATATTTATCGACTGCAATCACTAGCTTGCAAGCGGGCAACACTATTACGCAATGAACTGTCATTTTTTCCATCTTCAAAAAAGGCAGACAATAGTAGAGTTTAATTCAAGTGTAATTTGCTTAATTGTGATGTAAAGATATGTGAGTTTAGAAGATTTTTGATGTTAGCAGGATACTTTAACCTTAAACGTGGTTTCCAGATATTAGGAACAGGTTTACCTCTGGCGCGAGAGCGGCCTGATGTATACAAGGACTTCTGGGAAACATTACCCTCTGTACTGGAAACTTTCATGTTTGATCCACCGTAAGTACAATTCGCAAAACACCAGTAGGAGTAGAGCTGCTTGTGAAAGAATTTATTCAGGGAAGAGCTGCCACCTTACCTATTTCTGCCTCCAAGCAGTCATGTGCGTGTTATTGCGTTCTGATTTTGAAGAGTTAAGGATGCTGGTGAAATTGGCAGTATCCCTCGGATCTTTATGATTATAATCGTTCTTCTTCGTGGCTTGTTCTGTGTCTTTCGGAATTCCGCCAATGTCACGTATATAGCCTTTAAACGGGAGAATTGGATTTATTTTCAAATATAATTTTGATCGGCTGTCTGTGAGACTCGATTGTCATGATATTTACAATTTTTACGTTACACTCATTCTATTTTTAAATAAACTTTCAACCAGGACCCCGATTCATAACTCTTCGAATCGAATCGTTCCATTCATTGACTTACAAGTAAATGGACGACGGGTCTAATACAAAAACCACGAAAAAAATGTCCCAAGTCAACCTATTTAAACGTAGTGACATGTAAAGGAATATGAAAAAGCTAAAACGTTGAATTTAAATTGTAATGTCATCGCAGTACTGTCTAATTTCGCTTGCTTCGCTGTCAGAAGAAACAAACGAAGACTGAAGCTGACGCTCTGTATACGATTTTAACGCGCCTATAAGTTCGGACACTTTTTAGCGCGGACCCGACGTCCATATAATTGTAAGTCAATGGTTCCATTGGATATTGTTCTCGAATCGAAGGGCGCTTTCCGAGTTATTCAGAACCTTCCGAGTTAAACGTTCGATTAGATATCTCAAACGTCACCGTAACCAGCTTTGTAAATTGAACTATACCACCAGGCGCATGACGTGTTCTTCCCGTTACTTGATATCATAAAGAAAACATTACTGCTAGACAGCAGAAATAAGTCTGGTGGCCTGAACGGACTCCTTCACAGTTCTACTGCTGCTAATACCTTTGAAAGCTAAGGTTTTTTTTTGGTTAATAATAATGGCAAACAATGACACGTATTACTACCAGTACTAGAACGATATTCGCAAAAATTCGTTTCCAAAATCAGTCTTACCGAGAATCAAACCCGGGACCTCCTCTTTTTCTTTTATATTATTGTGTGGATCTATGTGAAGACTATAAACGCGTTGGTACTTGGTGTAACGGGCTAGTGTCCGCAACTCGACATCCAGGCTCCTACTTTGCTTGTGGTGTAGAGGAGCGACCTCGAGATATTTTGCCCTGTAGTTGGCCACGCCGGAGCACTGTAGTAGAATGTGCGCGGCCGTATCCTTGCACTGGATTGTATGGACCATGACCCGTTAGGGCGGCAGTTAGATTTTTCTTTTTTTAAAAAAAAGTTTCGCAGTATGGAGACCCTGTGTTGCGGGTGCCATGGACACACACATAGACAACCACAAATTACACCCAAACTCACGAGAGAAATGAATGTAGGCCATACAAATATTTCTCCCGGTCCGGGAATCGAACCTGGGTCCTCTGCGTGGCAGTCTGGCATGGTAACCATTCGGCCACGGAGGCAGTTAGAGTACGAAGCTCTTGCCTTTTAAGCTTAATTAATTTTCGAGACAGACTGGCGTTATGCGTGGCTATAAACGTGTTATCAATGTATATATTTATAAAGTAAGGTTTTTTGGTCAGTGTGGGCGGCACGTCTCACGCCCGCGAGCTGGTGGTCCTCATCCGGGACGAAGTCCTTCGGGGCTCGCCTCGGGTACCCTCGATTCACGTGCAAAAAGTTCTCGCCTTGGTGCGCGCTGGGTCGCTACATGTGCACCAGCAACAGAACAACGCTACACGTAAGTTTTGTATGTTCTCACTTTTGGGAAACTGACATAATAAATCAAGGTGTCCTAAACAAAGCCCAGTAAGTATGTGTATTATCATGATTATTAATAAGATCGAACACATAGAAAAGCTTTTTCGACCCGATGGGACTTCAACCCACGACCATACTGCACCGTAGTATCGCTCTTACCAACTAAGCTACGGGTCGAAAGTTATTAAGTTGTTGAAAATCTTCAGCGTTTTTGTTAAAGATCTTTATACGGGATTTTTTCGGCATTCTGAACAACTAGTGACATCTAGTGAAGGATTTTAGAACCTTCTTCGACGCAGTAAAACTTTTTCTACATGTTTGATTTTTATATTATTAATCTTAATAAAAACTAGTGGAGTTACTTCAAAAAAAAAAAACCCCAATAATACATATGTGAATTATCGTCAAAGGACTTATCTACTCATTATACTATTTTGTGTGGTATGACGAAGAAAAATTGGCAAGATTAAGACGACAGAAGCAGGTTCGCGTCCACATAGAAAAATTCGTGAGGTCCGCTGGTTCATTCCGTGACTTAGTTGGCACAACATCTGCCACGGTTTGCTAGAAAACGTCGGTTCGAATCCAGCCGGATCAAAGGAATTTTTCCAGTTGGAGGTTAGATACAGAAAAATAAAATCCTATTCCTCTCCAATCGGAGGGATGTGGAGAGGTTATTTATGTATCTAATGGAGCAATAAACATGTTTGACGAAATTCCACTTATGCGATTCTTTCACGAGGGGTGCGAAACATTATTTTCTCAAAGTTTTTCCACAACCCAACACTAGTTTTAACTCACTGCCCATCTCTAATTGCACACCTTGGTGAACGTATTTGCCAATCGGTGTAGTCCCCAAGGAATGATAGGTCGCGCGGGGAGGGTCCTTTTGTTCACCCCTGTGTATTAATAATAATTCAGATCCAATCTGCTCAACAAGGCGCCTCTTACTTGCCCCATTAAGAAATTAATTTTAAGACATTAATTATTGAAGAAATAGACATTTTTACTTGTTTCGAGAGCTAGTTCATGAAGGCAACACTGTTTTTGCTTTGTTCATAATCAATTCTATTTAATTGTATATTATTCGTTATTGTCCTTTATTATAATTGGCTTTAATTAATTGTCATTATTATTCAATTTATAAAATTATTTTTAGTTCTAATTTAGTTATGGAATGCTACACTATTGTAGTGATAAATAAATAACGCGCACATACTCATAGCCCAAGAAATAAATGTAGGCCATATAAATATTTCTCCCGGCCTGGGAATCGAACCCGAGACCTCTGCGTGGCAATCCGGCATGGTAACCGTTCGGCCACTGCGGCAGTAAATAAATAAAGAAATAACGACATAATTTTTACTCTTACAGAAAACGAGCAAGAATTACGAGAGAGAGAGGAGTTCGCTCGAACTTGTTTTGAAACATTACTACAGTTCTCTATGTTAGAAGACATGGACTCTTTTGCCGGCGTTAACAGTGAGTACATTGGCCTAAGCTAACTACTAATTAAACTTTATTTCAATCCAAGGACGCTTTAGAAAATTGCGCTGTATTTTAAAGAGGCTAGGTGTTTTGTAATGCATCGTATTGTCTTTTAACCGCTATATTCAAGATTGCTAGATGACGTCACCACATTATTCTTTATAATATCAAGTGACGGGACAAACAAGTCGTGTGTCTGGTGGTAAGCTGCAAGCTTATCCATGACAGTGCAGTGCCACTCAGAGCTTTAAATCGCACAGATCTGAGGGACATTGCCACTGCGCCTGTCACTCTGTGACATAAGTTGACAAGTCCTATGTGCCTGTGATGTCACCAGCATCCTGACTCTTCAAGGAAAGCAGTAATTGTCAATGACTGGCGCATAAATATTTAAGGTGGCCGTACTTCCCTGGACGAACTCTTTCACAAGGAGCTCTATGTATTATATCTTCATAACTACAGTTATGAAGATCAGAGAACGCGGTCATTACAACCCAAATTTTCTACCTTTAACAATGAGTTAAAAAATATTAACCATACTTATTGTACTATTTTCTATAAATAAAAAGTTTACTTCCATTGAATAGGTTATAGAAGACGGCAATTAACATTAGAGTTATTCTGTTCAACCAATTTAAAAGGTATGCAAAATTATTTCACATATTCACGCGGTATAGATATGTACTAGAAATTAACAACTAGAATCTTATGACGTTACCTTTTAAATTTAAATTATTATGTTTCAAAATTACATGGGCTCAAAACCTCTGATGTAATATGAAAGTGTTAATTATATACGATTAGAAGTGATTACGTATTCCTGAGGTTGTCTCAACAAAAAAAAGATAAAATGTTTCCTTTTTTCAGATGAAAGTGACCCGTTAGCAATAGTAGCGCTTCTAGACAGATTCCAAGAAGTTATATCTAGGTATACGAGAGACGATGACAACGCTGAACCTTTGCCCAGGCAAGTACACTTGTAGCTCTGGAACTCTATTCTCACTGTGTCACTACATTTAGTTAAGTACCTAAACAAATGGACTATAATTACAAAACAACCCGAATCACATTTCATCGGTAATTAAATATGTATTTTTTCAATTTTCATCCATTATAACAAAGCTCAAGTTAAACTGGTCGATTTGAAGTGAAGCAATTGACGACACCCGTTTGGGCTGGCCAATCGGAGCTCAGTTGTCACCCTAATGATTTGGCAGAATATATACTCGATGAAATAGATCTATACCATGGCAAGCCTTTTCGTTGTTAGTGATAGAATGGTTCACCAGATGTCGCCACTAACACCATCTGAATTATAGCCATTCTCAGCGGCACGATTATTTAAAAAGTTTAAATAATTTTATTTTCCTTACAGACATCAGTTATCAGAGCTGTCGTTTGTGCTAAAAGCAATAGCGACTTTAACGGAGTCCATGAAGAAAGCGGCTCCCGGCAAAGTGGACGCAACCGCGTGGCATAAGTTAATAGGTGAGAATAGTAATAAATGTTGAGTGCAGAAAGAAGAATGGCGACGTTATTGTCAAAAGAATTCTTAGCGTCTACAAACGTCATAATTGCAAGTTTGAATAAAGTGAATTCATTAAATTTCTCAAACTATACCAAAGGTCTGTCTAAGTCTGGAAATAAAATCATATTATTTAAATAAGACTCAAAAGACTAATTAGTATGTAACCGAACTGACATCAACAAATGTCAGTTTCTTGGTTTCTTTGAGCGACATCTAACCGCTAAAAAGAGAAGCCTGTACCTACGTATAAATTAGTTCACGCAATGTCAAATGTACTGATTATGATACTGATACTGAGAGATTAACTATTTTATGACATAACAAAATAAAGTGGATAAGTCCGACTGCAGGTTTAGCTTTAAGTTACTTTGAAACACGTATGAAAGAAGCGTGGTGACTCAGGCGTGTACCCGTCGCTGGTGGCGCTGGCGTCGTGCGCGCACACGTGCTGCGCGGGCGCAGCGCTGCGCGAGGCGCTGCTGCAGTTCGGCGCGCTGCTGCGCGCGCCCGCGCCGCCCTAGCGCCGCACCCGGCGGCTCTACACCCTGCACCTCTAGTGCGTCGCTCGTGCCGCATAGCCTTATTCTAGGTGAGTTCCTTGCGAACGCACATGGGTCATTTTCAGGTTACTTTTCTCTACCTCATTCCAGATATTCCAAAAAGAAGGTTATCATGAGGCATTGTGTAATATTTCAGTGTAGTATCCTGAAATAGTATACTTGAATACTTAAGTAACAAAAATTGCCACCGAAATATACAGGGTGGAAATAATTATAATATAGTATGTAGTAGAAATAATATTAGCTATACGAAAACGGCCCTAGAAGAATAGCTATCGATTTTGAAGGTGTTTCGAGTGTTACCCACAGATTAAAAAAAATACATTCAAGAAGATAAAAGACAATTTTTTACTACTAATATATATATATTAATTTTTTACTAAAGCTTTTTTCATGCCATTTGATTCTTTTTCGTGTGGTTCAGCAGTATATCTATGGGACGATGCGAATAAAATTTTATTATGCCTTTATTGTAGTAAATATATGTTTCATTTTTTTCCAGTGTCGATTCACGGTAGCTGTAATAAAACCATCACCATGATTGAAACAATCATACGGCTAAGTTAAAAGAACTAGAAACTGTTCCCAGTTATTTTTGTAACAAATCATTTGTTATTAATTTTAAACTGTTATTGTATAGGCAATAAATTGTGTAATTATTTTGAGTCTTATTTATTTTGTAGGATTTGTATCTTTAGTGGTATGTGAAATTTTATAATAGAAGGTGAAATTTAATTCGTTCGATGAATTTTAAGTGGTAATTTATGATATATGTCTGATAGCGTGTGTGTAATGTCCTAGTCGGTTTCGGCTACAGCGACTGCTATTATTTAGAATTAGAGCTGAGGTTGTTTGCTCTTTCATGTTCCCTTAGATGGCTACAGTAGCCAATCTTGTTGGTAAATATTCGCAAACAGTGGCAACACGTAAGGGCACCGTCAACATAGTAATAAAAGATGGCTGTAGGTGTCTTAGCCTTCAGAGCATCACGTTTCGCGTCCGGGTCTGACAGTCTCTGCTCCTCAAATTTCGTCACTTGAGATTTCACAAAGTGTCTCCACCCACCACGGCAACTCGACTGCATGTCCTACCTCGAGGGATCAATGTTGCAACTTTTCATGTGTCTTTATCAGAACATATTTGTATCTCAAGAACTGGCCGCCTTGCTTCCGCTTGCCATTCTGGAGTTCAGAAAAGAAGATAACGTATATGTAGATTAGAACGACTTTCTACAATGTCACCTCGCACAGTTTGTATTTATAAATATCACTTGATTTGAACAAACATTTACTTTTTTTGTGACACTAAAAATCGAGTCGAGCAAGTCTTTACTATTGGCCCACCTGTAACAGTTGCATTGCCACTCATTGCTTTAAATCATCTCCTTAAGATGACAAGTCCCATGTGCTTGTAATTTCACCATTACCCTTCCTTACTCATCCTTGAAAACCAAAAAGCATTAAGATTCACATTACTGCTTGGTGGCAGAAATAATATTATTATTCGTCACAGGAGAATATGCGTTCTTATTAAATAATTGAAGTATAATTTGCTTACCTCTGAAATGAAGACATATTTAAATATTTTTTAAGTCGTTATTATAAAATTTGTACACATTGATATTTATTACATTCCTTAAGAGTGTCGAATGGACAGATATATATGTAAATAGACGTCGCAAGTACAGCAATTTGTATGAAAACCGAGCGTGTCACATTTTATGTATCCACCATGACGTCACAAGAACTATTTAGTGATGGAAACCTCCTTCCGCGCTAAATCGATTGAACGGAATACACGTACCTATTCCATTCAACTAATCGATTCAAGTATTCGTTGATTACAAGTAGTCGTGAAATATTAATATAGTAGAAAAATACCAAAACAATATCATTATATCCTTTATTAAGTTATTTAAAAAAAAATTTGATTACTTAATCATTTAATTTTAATTTTTAATCAACTTCACATATTAAAATTATTGTCCTTGAAATAATATAAGCTTATTATATAACTGTCATTTTGTAATAGAAGATCTTATCGATTGACTGAAATAATGAAAACGCACGTCAATATATGAACTTGCAACTGCCTTAATTAAATTTACTAGATGGTTTTCCGTCGGTGATTGATCAAATTGGTGAATGGCAAGACAGATGAAAATGTTACTGCTGACAAAATATGGTAAAATCTTATTAATTAGAAGAGGTTTACTTAATTATTTGTTTATTATTTCTCGGATTTCTAACTCTGCTACTCTGCATATTTGGATAGCATCTTAGGTGGGATAAACTAGACCACCTTTGTTCTCGAAAGCAACGATCTCATACGTATGACCAACTCCAGATTTTTGTAATTCTTTGCATTATATATTTTTTTATATTATTCGTAATCATTAAATAATAGTAATAATTAGTATGTAATTGTTGTCTCACTATATTCGGACATTCGAGGCAACGTGCTGCAAAAATTATTGAAATTACAGATACTACTGATAATAGATACTACAAAAGTGGAAAAAAAACGAAACGTTATAACAAAAGAGTTATAGATTATTTTTTTAATATTGCTAAGGTCATAATAATTTTCGTCCCTTTGTTTTCAAAATCGATCAGAATCGAGAACAGTGTTGCCTAACGTATACATCAACTAAATGTTAAATTTGGCCAAAAAAAATGTACAAGCGGCCGTACCACAGAAACTGAATGTATTATGCAAAAGTGCGTTCATTCGATATTCATGGCGTATTAACAAAAGATCATAAATATATCGCACCAAGTAAAAGCCGCAATGTATTACAAATTATGAGGCATACACTGGGTTGCATATTTGTTTCCTCGAAATTCATACAAAACCAAAATAATTGTATGTAAAATAAATTATGCATCTTCTGATTACAAAATCACTTGCCCGTGGAAGGAAACGTCGCTGTTTACCCGTTTACCCACAGTTACGGTGCTTTTGCAGTTTATAATGGCACGATTATGCATTTTTCGCGTTTTCGACTGGTGTTTATCTACGATAACGGTCGACCGCGTTCTGAAGTGTAGCAGTGGCAAGTAAGTGAATTTCACTTACTTTGGGCGCTTGCGGCGTCTATCTAGATATATGTCTGTGGTCGAATGAATTAAATTTCACCTTGTATATACGTATTGGATTCTCAATGTGCCTCGAGTGTTACCTAAGGACTTCTTGTTTTTATGGAGATCCAAACTTAATGGCTTTTCAGTCTTTACATAATGATATTCTACTTGATCGCATATAGGTTGTAATTGAAAAGATGCTATAATGCAACTAATTACCCTGCTCATGACAACAAACCATTGCAGGTCCTTTTTTGCATCCTGTATAAATCGCAACCAACCCGATCGAAATATCTGTGGGCCTTACATTAAAATTATGCTCCATAAGCGAGCATATAAACATTCATGTTTAACGATGAAAATAACAGACAAAAAAAATTCGTTATAGGGGTGCGATAGAATTTTTAGCAAAATTAAATAAAAACGAAAAGTAGTACATAACGCTCATATCACTGATTGGTAACTGAAATAGGGTTGGTGGTAGAGCTTCCCATAGATTTAGTATGGTGCTTCCCTGGTCGAACTTCCACGAAGAGCTCTACTCCTACAATATTCTATCAAGACTCTGTTAAAAGGGACGCCATTCGTCATCTCAGACCGTTTATTCGTTTTAATGTACAAAATATGTAAAAGAAACTGAATTTATAATCGTGGTGGATGGCCCAAACTACGAGAGACCCAGCAGTGGGTGAAATCGTGCTGTGGATGATGATGAAGCTCCGCGGGAGTGACGAATCTCTCCGGGAAACATACTCAAGACGCTGTTGGAGCTCTTTCGGAGGCGTCCAAGCGCGGATACACGCCTTCTTCCAGTGTTGCAAGGGCCTTTGAGTTAAAAATTAATGTTTATTTACCTAAACATTAGTTTTACCTACTTTACCTTACATTTTCGTTGCAAAAGCTACATTAAAAAAGTCTCAAATATTAACTATATATATTCAGATACGCCTAAATCCTAAAAAAACGTAAACCAGTAATTCGTAGGTTTTTTTTTTGCGCCAGATCTGAATTACTTTATTGTTTATATAGAATAGAAATCATTTATTACCTTTGGGTGCGTTCGTAATTATTTAGAATTTACAATAACAAATATACTTAATTGAATTTTAAAAAATCTCCACGTTTTCAAAAGTTACGAAAATTGCTATAAAAAGCTACTTACTTAATACGCAAGTAGGTCATAAATTACGAAAAATTGTAACAATCTGGCAATACTGCCATTTTCTCACGATGGCCATGAAACCAACTGTCAGCACCCTGAATGCATTATTATAATTCAATGTCATCTTTTCACAGGAAATCATTTTAACTTTATGGTGGCCATTTTGAAACTTCTTATAGAATGCAATGAGCTTGTTTAATTAAATTAAAATAAATTACCTTGAGTTCAAATCGTTCAGTTGAAATATTAGAGGTAATAAACATAAAAACTAAGTATAAAAAAGTAATATTAATAGCATAGTAATAGTAACAAAATTACTTAATAAAAATTTAAAAACCGCGCTTTCTAGGCATTAAATTCTGCTTGAATTGTTTTTTTTATATGTTATTACGGAAAGGGGGAACTCTGTCATGCTGACGCCTACAGGCACGCCTAGATTGAAGTAATTTTTGAGAATAATTTGACGACTTTGAGAAGATTAGTTTTTTGTGTGCACGCTGAGCTAGCAGATCCACAGATATTTCTTATCGGGGTTTGCGGGGGTACATACGAGTAGTGTTATAAAGAAACAAATTTCAATGTATTGTTATTGTATACATATAATATATTATTTTTGTATACATATAATATATTTACCTAAATTATGAGTGAGGTCACACATGTAGCTTGAGTAATACCTCCCTCTGAAATGCCGGAACGATTAAAAATAAAAGGCAAAAACAAAATTACAAAACTTTTAAATACACTACTGTTGGAGAGGTCATAAAATTATGTTTATAATTTATAAATTTAAGTTTAACAATTTGACCTATGTGCTTTAGTGCTTTTTATGTGTGTCGTAAAGGTGGCAAACTAGGGGATGAATGACTTTGAGGTCGGTTTTTTTAGTACACTGTGGTGAAATTAAGTTCTTAGTGGTAAAACTAAGGGCGGTTTCAAATTAGACTTTTAGGTAGAAACTCAATGTGGTGCGCTTGTAACGCCACTGTGGCGCCACTGCAGAGCTTCTATAAAGGTAATTTGTAGACGCCCTTACTTTTTTTAAATTTGCATTATGGTGGAACTTTCAGGTTTCTTATCCCTATATAAATAATAAAATGTGGCTTTTTGTTATTCTCTCGATATTTTGTTAGACAAAGATAAAGCCGCGAGAAATTTTAAATGTATGTCGTATGGAAGCAATTTTCTTATGACATCATTTTTATTGAACGTTATTTTCCCGTCATTCTCCTGAGAAGAACGAGTAGTATTTGTTCACATCTATTATTAGCATTTTTTTATCTAAAAACAATTGGAAATAAGTTTTCTATATGTATGATGTTGTACATGTATAATATAGAACAAAAGTTGTTTGTATGTAAAGGTTTTATAGGAATGCTGTGTTAAGAAGTTTCAGGTTTAATAAAAGTAATGCTGTAGTTAGTTAGTTTTCAAAGTGTATTTAATAGAATTGAAAAGTATTAAATGCCCACTTGTGAGGCCTTTTAAATAAATATACCATTACATATACCTAGATAGATTTAAAACTATTATTGTTTTCATTTTGTAGCTGCGAAAAGCCATTATTAATTACAACTCTGAATATTATTTTTTATGAAAATTAAAAGATTTGACGTGACTGGAAAAAATGCTGATTAACAATAATGCCGTTTATTGTTGTTAGCGTAACTTTGGAATTACAATCCATGAGGAATGTAGACGCTACATGAATGTACTCTATATTTTATTTCAAGTAGTTTATATTTAGATAAGAAAGGTTTAAATTTATTCAAAATTGGGTGTTCATGGTATTGTCTCTACATTTCTCAGTTGCGTTGATTTTTTTTTTTATTATATCTCAATCTTGGATTAAAGTTTTTCTGTTTCCACTCGGCCAGCTAGTATCTAAATGCCTCTACCATTTTTCTGTTATGCAAATACTTAATTTTTTTAAATTAATACGTACAAGATATTAAAAAGAATCAATTTATATTGTTGACCTACTGAGGGGGTCAGGAAATAAAATTTAAAGATAATTTTTAAATTTTTTTAAACTGGCAATCATGTAAACATCGCTGTATTATCCTAAAAAGCCAATGAGAATACAAGGCACTGTAAAAAGCCAATTACGCAGTGTTACCACCTCTGGACGTACACCTTGTAGAAGTATATAGTATTTTTTTATGTGCAATTGTCATTTGACTCCAAGGCTTAAGAATATACACACAAAAGTACATGTGGCAAATAAAAAAATTTGTGTAAACTTTTCTGTACATTTTAACTCTATATAGAGGACACATAAGTTGATAATGTATCGTGCCTCTATTATGATTTTTTTGTGACAGTTGTTACTGTTTAATATACTTAACAAATTTGTATGCCAAATTGTACAGCGCTTCTAGCGGTCACAGGAGGAAACAACATTTTGTATTTATATTTTATATTTTTCATTACACTTACTCGTAAATAGTATCATGACATGCAAGCAAAGACGAGTGTAATGTCCTAAATTATGCCCACAGGCATATTATTATCATTGCCGTAGCCATCATACATACATACGTAGTTTTCATACATACATATACTGGCTGTTAGTTAGCTACCTTGTTAGATAAATTTTTGAAATAAAATATTTTAAACAATCGTATTTTCATTTTTTAATCTTAAATTTTTTAGATTCTGGTCGTGACATGTTTGTATAGTGTTGTGTTTAGTGCAATTCTCAATCGACTCACTGAAAAAGAATTAGTCCAAGTGATATGGTTTAATGTGACCTATTCAGTATGTTATTGAGTTCAACTTCTTAGAAAACCATTATTTCTTTTTTATGGAAAAACTGGCAACACATGAATATAAGGAAATAAGATAAGCCAACGTCCTTTCACTTTGAAAACACCGTTTCTCGTCCGATCCAGGAAATAATAAGGAGATTATAAAATAACAAAAAAATTTGATTGTAAAATACGCCGTAAAAATCGTTGAAAAATTTTGCATAATACCACAAAACGACAAACACATGTCTGTCTTATGTAACCAACCGATGTAGTTTTAGAAATTAGAATTTGTTCTGTTGGTTGTTTACTCTAAATTTTAATACGACTTCTTTTTAAAACATGATAATAATGAGACCCGATAAGGTCTTCCTTTTATTTTACTCATAGCTACTTTGTTGTCACGTATCCCGTTAGATGCCGCAAGTTGTTCTTTTCAGAGCGCAGAGCTACATCAGATTCTACTAAATAGGCATAACATTCAACTATTGTTATATAATTAGTCAACTATTGAACACTGAAAATGTGTAATGATAAATAGATACTGTAGTTGTATGTTGCAATTACAAGTACTTTATTGAAAGTAAATTCATTGGAATTTAAATTTTGTGGCAGCCAATTACGCCGCTAGATGCCACTGCTACTAAAAAAAATCATTTTTGTTTCCGATTTTGGCGGGGAAGAGAAATAGTGTTGTGTAAAAAAACGAGCAATAAATCAATTCGGAGTTGAAAAAAAAAACGTTTGGAGTACAATTAATTAATTTTAATAATATAATAAAGTAACAATAATAATTTTGACCCTATGCATATTGCCCTCCTTCCCTATCATAAATAACATAATTTTTAGAGAAATTGAGTTATTAACATAACTGGGATCAGCGAAAGGAGATCTACAACGACCTCTAATCGGTTTTTAATTATTTAGTTTCACTTTTATTGTTAAACAAAATCATCCTAATTGACATTAGTAATCCACTTGCAAACAGTACTATGTGACATTTTTAATGATTTCTAGTTAATGGCGTGAAATGGATCAGAATTTTGAATAATTTCAAATACTTCAACAATACAGTGGTATATTCTGAACAAATTAGTATCAAATGTGGCTACTTTTGCAAAAGTCGCTAACTTTCTTAGGGTCGTATTCCAGAACTCTACTCAATGACTGACTTGAGTTCTGGAATACGACTCTTGTCTAGATGTAGCCTCTTTATGAACTTGCTTCACGTTATAGAATGTGGAAATGCAGGTAAGTCGTTTACGGTCTTGGAGACTTATAACCATGACATCTCCACACTGTCTGGCTACAAACTGACCTTCTGCAAGAGGAGTCCTCTGGATGACGACAGGCAGGTGTCTACAAGATGGTCGGAGTGCTCCGACGCAATCTGCTTGAGGTACCTCGCAAGCATTGGTGAGTTGAACCAGTTGTCCATGTACGTGACCCAAGTTCAAAAGGGGCTGCATAAGCTTCACTACTGTTGAAACGCACGAGGGAAGGGTGGAGGTGCTCGTCCCGCGTCCTACATATACAAAGAATGACCACAAATAGCCACTCGAGGACTCGCACAGTTGATAAGTTTTAATACCAAACCGAGCTGATTTGGTTTTTATATATTGCTTGAACCCTACCGGACCCTTCCAAAGTGTCAAAGAGTCATCTATACAAATGTCTTGGTGCAGTCTGTAATTTTGTCGAAATTTGGAATTCAACTGTTTAATGACAGGTCCCATGGGGTACAACACGTTGTCGGGGTCATTTGGGTCTCGTGACCCGTTGGCTAGGTGGAAAGCCCGGTTAATATTCCAGTACCTGTTCTCAACAAACAGCCCGGAATATTTCTGTCCGCAAAATGGACACTTTCGTAAAGCACGACTTGATGGTGGGCATTTTAATAATGCCCAACATCATCCAAAATGCGAACAGAATAAGAATTTCATCGACATTCGTGTTGTACCAACTGCGACGAAACCGTTCGCTCTGAATCTTCTGGGCATACCGATTCGTTTCTTCTGCTATATGGGACAATAAAGAATCGTCCCAGTATCAGTAGGAGCGAATCGCATCATATGCGTTTCCAACCAAATGGGTAGGCCCAGAGGTTTCAGGGACAAACATTTCTTTTACACCATTCCACTCATTCATCGTCGACCATACGAAATCTTCACTATCAAAAAATTCCTCTACGTCACTTCCATCCTCTTCGAGATCCACATTTGCCCTGCTCCTTGCACGCATTGTTTCCTCTCTCATACTATGTACATGCGTCAATCTTTCGATCTCCTGTCGCAAAGGCGCGGGGAGCTCTTCGTCCCGAGCAAAAAGCTCAACCAAGGGCTCGTTGCGCGACCAGATAGACTCTCCTTCCACTCCTCGTCTCTCACCCCTACTAAAGGTGCCGCGACTGCTTCGTGCCACTCGCCCGAGCCTACCTCCCCTATACAAGCTTCTGGCACGTCCTGCCACCACATCCTCTACCGCCACGTCCTCTGGTGCCACTGACTTCAGGCACTGGCACATCGCCTGCACCAGACTCCGTAGGGCCACCAGTAGGACTCCTGTAAATTAATAATAAAAGCTAAATAAATATACCTTCGGTTTACTGAAAGCTGAAAAGATAAAATAAGTCCGGTCTGATCTTGGGAAAAAGTTATTCTATTTGCTACAATCTTTGTATTTATAATAATAACATAATTGGTGAAGTAATTTCACAAAAAAGTAATGAAAATCACGGTAGTAAAACATTGTCATATTCAATAAATAATAAATAAGATAAAACATGTTCAAACTTACATAGGGCTACTAGCCCATGAAACTAACTTGTCGGCTTGCTATTCTTCCTCGGCAGTATCGCTGGCTCTGTAAAGAAAAGAAAGATATTATAGAATACGAACATATGTATGCAAATATTGTGATAGTTTTGTAACTAATTAGAGCATAATAATACTTCCACAACGTCTGATATGGGTATATATTTTTTATCCTACCCTATACAACATTATCGCCTACACCTCTTGTTATGGTTAACTCAACCACTTATGCTCATAACGAAATTCTTTAAATTCAGTTTTGTTAAGGTGAGTGGCATAAATCACAGCAAAAGTAAATGTGACCCTTCTTTGTTTCACTACAAAGTGGCCCACTCCAAAAAAAAGGGTCGCCTCTGGCAGAGCAGGTAGCAAAGCAGGACAGAGTCATGCTTTGTTTTTCTGAAGTACCTAGCTAAAGAATTTGTACTAACTAACAATTGTGATTCCCACTGGACTGTCTATTGGCACATTAAGATAAGCTTTAAAGTAACTGAGCATTACATGAAGGGAACACAGGCGGCCACACTGGAAGGACTGTACATTACCATCGCACGATTTGAGGGGTGAGAGGGGGGTGGGTGGGGGTTGATTGGGGAAGGGGACCCTTCGTGCAAAGTTTCAAAGTTAGGAAGTTAATAGTTTTCGAAATATTAATTTTTGAAAATTCGAAAAAAATAACCTCAAAAAATCATGTTTTAGCACCGAAGAGCGGGGTAAACCCCTCCTCCCGAACCCCTAGCGGGAGAAACCCTCCCCAGACCTCCCCCCCTGTACCCACTTCTTGTGTTATATGAGAAACTAAATTTAACTTAAAACCAGGCTAAAACGCAAAATCCTTTTTGATGCATATACATCAAACAGTAAACAACAACAAACAACATGGGGTCATTTTTGCGTTTCGTTAGATTTTTGCAAAAAAAAAATAATTGTTCAAAAATAAAAGCTTACATACTAATTATAGTAAATTTCTATGTTAAATTTACAATTACGTATTAATTTGTGCTGTTTAATTCAATACTGCAAAAAATTTTTGAAATAACGCCGCGCGCGCGGCGTTTCGTTCATTTTTTTTTACGAAAATGTTTATTTTTTTGCGTTATTTCAAATAACCTCAAAAAATCATGTTTTCGCACTAAAGAGCGGGGTAAACCCCTCCCCCGAACCCCTAGCGGAAAAAACCCACCCCCCCTGTCCCCACTTCCTGTGTTATATGAGAAACTATATTTAACCTAAAACCAGGCACAAACGCAAAATCCTAATTGATGAATACAATGAATACATCAAACAGTAAACAACAACAAACAACATGGCGTCCTTTTTGCATTTCGTTATTTTTTTGCAACAAAAAACTAATTGTTCAAAAATAAAAGCTTACATACTAATTATAGTAAATTTCTATGTTAAATTTACAATTACTTATTAATTTATGCTGTTTAATTCAATACTGCGAAAAATTTTTGAAATAACGCAAAAAATAAACATTTTCGTAAAAAAAATGAACGAAACGCCGCGTTATTTCAAAAACAATACTGCAACATCCAAACACTGTGCTTTCCTAACGTACAAAACCTGTTTCCTATCATTTATTTTCGAATATTTCAATAAATTTTATTATCAAAACTACGAGTTTCCTAAAGCTAATATTTTAGGATTAGACTGCTAACTATGTAATTTATTCACCATATTAATTTCAACTCTCAACTCGTGCGATGGTAATGTATAGTTGAGCCCATTATTGCGAATATGGCGTATAAAAATGGCGGTCACATTTTTGCAACATAAATAAAAGCAGAAATTTACGAAATTTATTCGCTTTAGATCAGAAATATAGGCAGAATCCTATAAAAGGATGTTGCACTTGTATTATTATTACATATTATGTACAACCAAATGTTTCTTTTAGTCAAATAACACATTATAAAATATTTGAAAAACAGAAAAAGTCGTACCGATAACTTTGAAAGTGAAAATACTTACGTATTACTGCACTCACAATTCATGTTATGTTAGCATTACTTACGTAAAAGTCCAATGCATATTTTCTATTAGCAATCGGAACAAAATTCACTCACATTTCACTTGAAAACACTTATTTGATAAACTCAAACAACGCGCTCCGTTCGCCGGTAATTTTCAAACTGATAGGACTCGATGCCACAAACAAAAGGTCACGAGTATTATACACCAAATGAAAGAGCACAACCATCTGTTTTGTTTTTACGTACAAACCATCAATACTTACAAGGATTTGGCTACACCAAAAAAATCTTTTCAAATTGGTAGTGTATGCGGCAGTATATGCGTATGAATTCATACGCATGCTGAGCCTACGGTAGTAGAGCATTGTGCGTATGAAAACATACGCATGCCGAGTTTAAGGGTTAAGGTAATTTTATTTTACCAAAATTTAAAAAAAGTTAATACTCTAGGCCTTAGAATAATAACGCATAAAATGATAGTTTCATATCAAACGAACTGTCACAAGAGAGGCAAAAATCAAATTTATGTAGGCTAGTTTTAGTAGTAGGTTAATTTTAATATTTATATAAAAATACAAGTTGAAACGCGTTACTTCCTTGTGGAATGTGATGTTAGTTTCTATTTTATGTTTGTCTAACGTATTTTTACACTCATTTACCACACATTTTGTCATTTTTAGCTAAAATTCTTGATGTGTTCGCGGTGCAAGTTGTTTGAGCACTGAAGGCCCACCCGGTCGTGTAGGCCCTTTGGGCGCGCTTCAATTTGCCTCACTAGCGTAAGCGGACTAGGTTTCTATGCGTTATTATTCTAAGCACTAGACACTATCTAAGATGGTTTTATTTAGCGTTGGCAACTTGTTAGACAAGGACAGACCACTACTTTGAGCTATCTCACGTGGCTCGGTTTCTTACTTGTACTTAAAATAAACTTTAACATAACCCAATAAGGTGTAAATTTGTAATATTAGTAAATCGAAGTGCGCGATCCAGTTTATGAAATATATGTGTAAATCCGTAATTAAAATACGCATGATGCGAATGAAGCTTCGTACAATTTACAGCAAATTGTTTATGGTGTGTGTTTCGGACGGATGTTCGACGGAGAACGAGATTAAACTCCCTGTTCCGTGTAACACAGGAAGATAGCAGAAATTATTACGATGGCACCAAAGTACATTTACTCAATATTTTATATGTGCCCGTAAAAATATACATAATTTCAATAAGTAGGAAGGTATCCATAATATTAACCTTAGAGCTAAGTCCAAACTCGTGGTACCACGATTTCGTTTAACCAAGGCTAACGACTCTTTTATATACGTTTTTACAATAAGATTCCGGAGCATAATTATATTAAGATTATCATTTCCTAAGTTTAAAAACAACATTAAAATTATTTTGATTGAAAAATCATATTACAAAATTGAAGACTACGTGTTAGACAAATATATGTGGAAAGACGACATGGCTCTAGATTCCACACAAATTTGATTCAAAGTGTATAATTTCCATAGCATTTCTTTATTTGAAAAGGGCAATGCCTATAGTTTCTTGGTCGTTCTTCTCAGGGAAGTCAGCGTAGTGAACACAACGAGCAGTAGCTTAAATGTGACGTTTTCAAGTGTAAATCTATTTTACTTATGGAATAATTGATCCTTTGCCTTTGACTTTGACGATAATCATAAAAAAGTCAATGATCTCACTGTTATGGATAAACGTCGTAAACAATCTTGTAGGCGGACTGTATGGCCACGGATATTAATAGATGTAGGCGACCATAATTGGCTTTGTATCACGATGATACACACCTCGAGTTCCAGAAAATGCTAAAAAATCGTCGAGACCCTCGAAATTATTGAGG